GCGTAGAAAGGTAATCACCTGATGAAGGTGTGTCCTGCTAGTAGTCCTAAAAATGCCAGTCTATAGAACGGCTTAGAGAAAGAGCTGTAAGTAGAAACCCAATAAAATAGCCATATTTTTAAGGTGAGCAGAGGAAACCTGTATATGAAAACATACTGTGTAATCATAATCTGATTCAAAATGTTGCCAGGACAGATTATTTAAAGTAAATGGATGAAGATTGATTATTGAGAACAATTTGCAATTGAAGATGTTTAAAAATGGTGTAGTTGCTCTTTCACAAAAGAAACCTGTACCACTTCACATTATAACTTGAAAATGAATAATTAATCCAAGTTTGTGTATCCTTAAATATATTCTTCCTTGTATCCCCTGGTGACACTGGAATGCTTGTAATTCAGTTATTCCAAAGTTAGTATATCCTTACGTAAAGTTATTGTGGAATTGCTGTATTACAAATGGCAGAATCACGTGTGATCCATTAAAAAAAAAAAAAGTAAAAATGACAGTAAATTCTTCATAATGCAATGCATTAAGTCTTCACTGTCATTTCAAATATTTCTGAAATATGCTTTAATCCTCTTTTTTCTTCAAATTTTATTTCTTTTTCCTTGTTATCTCCCAGCACTTAACAAGAGTGATTCTTTGTTACTCATCTCCATTTAGTAGATTTCCTTATCTGATTTGCCATCTTAGAGAAAAAGAAAATACAGTAATTTTCAAACTTTGTGTTCCGATAGACCCCAAAACACACAATATGGTCCATACCACTTGAAATGTGAAAGTTGTTGAAAAAGGCTCCAGAAAGGTTTGCAGATTGGAAACTACCTCTTAGCTAATACCAAATTTTTAGAGGAGTATAAATAATTAATTGGCCCAAGAGAAAGCAATAGGTTCATTTATTCTTTTGCATCAGTATTCTCTGAAACAGTTACATAACATATTACTTTAATAATTAGGAATAATCTTGTAATGCATGTTGTCCTTGTTTTTTAACAGTGAGGTGAAGATGGAGGAAAATGAACCTCATGGGAATAGCTCCTCTAAAAAATTCTTGTTTCAAAAAATGGCATTAAGCTTCCACATAGTTGTTTACCACTACATTCTGCAATAAAAGTCACTTTTCCTAGAGAAATGCATTGATTTATAAATGAATTATAAACTAGCTTAAATTAAAAAATAAATTATATATGTAGCTCATGAATCACCTTCTTTCGCTACGTTAAACTTCTATTTGCAGCATATGCTTTGGGTGGTGTTTTTGTGTTACAATTATGCTCACATAAAACATGCATTTCTGCAATACTTTGAATATGGAATAAAAGATGAAATTGTTACCACTCATTACATCCATGTTCTTCATGCAAACAAATCGAGACCACTTGCTTCTAATAAGTATGGTCTTAAGATGGTGTCCTGGCAAATAAGTATTTTCCTTGTGTAGTTCCTTAGAGCCCTTCAGAGCCTGGGATCAGTTGTGCTGTAAGCACCTGTAATCTTACAGCATCTCCTTCAGTCTGGTTACAATGTGTTTTTTGATATAAGAATAGCATGGACCCTCCTATCTAATTACTAACTTCTAAAGAATGTTGATATTATTCTAGAATGATAGAATGATGTTTTCTCATTAAGCTATCTGTTTTTACTGATGATTCTGATGATATGGAGTTATTATTCAAGCAGTACTGTAAATTGTCTTAAGAATTTTGCATTTTTCTCCAGCTTTGCTCTTTGGAATGGTAATCTTCCTTGACAAGTTAACTCCCTTTAGAACCACATTCAAGTCAAAGCACAGGCTGTTTGAAATTTAGTAGTTACCATATAATGCAAGCACTTGCTCTACTGTAGTATAGCAGCAGAACTGTTTCCAGAGTGGTATGTTTATCAGTGTAATAAAAAATACAGTAAGAGCGTCTGTATGCGTATGTATATATTACTGTACAGAAAGCAGCACGAGATAATCTAGATAGTACTAGTAGGTAACTAGTACTGACTGTTACCAAATGACTAAGGAAACACTTTAAAAGAGAGTGTCTGGGGAAAAAACTCCTTTGAAATATTAACACCCAAGTCTGTGATCTCCTAATAATACCCGTGGTCTGCTATGTTAAGTGTGTCAATTCCAGTACTTTTTTTCATTAAATTTGGGCAAGCAGTTTTAGAGCGTTACACCAATTATCTTTTAGGTATGATCCAAAAACAGATGTGTGGACTGCCGTGGCCTCTATGAGCATTAGCAGAGATGCAGTGGGAGTATGTCTTCTTGGTGACAAGTTGTATGCTGTTGGAGGATATGATGGTCAGACGTACCTTAATACAGTGGAGTCTTATGATCCCCAGACAAATGAATGGACACAGGTATAGTTTCTGGTTAGGTCACACACTACTAATTATTTTGCTGTTATTTCAAGCATGCTTTGTTTTGCAAGGAGAAAACAAATACTCCTTTTCTAAAAAGCACTTTCTTGTTAGTCTGTTGTAAGTCAGCCAGTCAGTCTCTCTCTCTCTCATCTGCAAGTTCAAGTTGGTTTTCTTTGAACAGACAATTGTTAAAGCCTAATAAACCACCCTTGTTTCTTTGGGAATAATATAGCTCTTTTCTTTGACAACTTCAGCTACTGTAAGAAAATGTATTGACATGTTACCAAAATTGTCATAAAGGATTCTGTTTATGCTGAGGATAAATGATAAATGTAGATCAGTTTTAGCTCTAACATCTCTCAGAAGCTTATCAGTTTCTTCAAGGTTTTGGTCATCTTTTCATAAATAATCCCTTCCTGATATGAATGCTATGTACAGTGTGTGCAACTTCCAGAAAGCCTTTTCCCATATCTTTTTACATATCTTAAAAATATAATCTTCAATTCATGATCAGAAACCATTACTGTCAATTCAAAGTTTGGTTACTTTTACTTTTTTTATAGCTCCAGGAATTTGTCTTTCTGTGAGAGGAGCCTAGGCAAGCTGTTGTTAGGTAATTTCTGTTATTTAAGATACCAGGAGTGTCTGAAACATCCACAGAAGGCTGGAGGATACAACAGGGAATCTGTAGGAGACAGAGGCCCTTCTGGAGTCCAGTTACAGGAGGAATGTTCTAGGTCATCTAGAACAGCATTAGACACCAGTATTGAGGCAGCTGGAAATAAATACTTAATGCTGACTACTTTAAATACTTAAACCTGACTACATTTCTCTCATGGATGGTTGTTTTTTTTTGTTTCTTTGTTTGTTTGTTTTTATTTTTTATTTTTTTGCTTACAGGTTGCACCATTGTGCTTAGGAAGAGCTGGAGCATGTGTTGTGACTGTAAAGCTATAAATTATTTTCTCTGTGAAGGTGACAGTCTCCTCTATAGGAGAATTTCGTATTTCCTCTAGCCAACTAAAAGTGCACCAGTAAACACCAGGTGCAGGATATCTACAAGAGCAGTGTTCGGGCTCCAGCTGACGTACACCTACCTGCTGTTCTTACGGACCAATATTAAGCACTTTTAAAGAATCGTCTTTGTTACCTGTACATTAGAAGAGCTGCAAGGAAATCAGCTGCAACCAAGATGTTGCCAGAGGACAACTTGCATTGAGGAAATACTAAGAAATGAGCAAACTCATTGTGAACTCACTGGGATAATGAAATGTTATTTAGGGCCTTGATCCCTCTAAAATGCAGAGGAGTGATGCTATTAATGGATATGGCTCCACTGATATCATTGAGTCTATCTCTGGGTGAAACAAGTTCCAGGATTGAGCCCCATATATTTAATTTGCCTATAATAAACACGTTTTGCTATAGGTATCTGAACTATTACAATGCAGGCTGACAAACCAATGCAAACCATTGTAAATGGCAGGTGTAACGCTTGCCTTAAAAATGAAGTTGTGTATTTGGTGAATCTTTTGCACTTTTATCATCATTCCTAGTTTAGAAGACTTTTTATTTAACCAAAGCCTTATTTTAAATATTGTCTTATTATGCTAACAGAAATCTGCTATTTAATAATATCTGCAGATTTTTGATATCCAGTGTACTTTTTTTTTTAAAGGTTTTCCGTAAGATGGAGAACAATCATACCTTTTTCTCTACTTTGGTTCTTATATTTACATTGTTATTGTTTTTAAGGAAAAAGCTGTAAGCATGAGTTATTAGTTGAAAAAATTCTAAAGTGTAATTAGAAGTTAACCAGTTTAATAAGAGCACTTTGGAATTTTCAAAGCATTCCATTGCATCTAGACTAAGAGTCTACTTTGATTCTCTTTAATTGTATTTTACATGAGGCTTTGCACTAATTTGAGAAGTATGATTTTATAAGATGAAATGAAACTGTTGTCTGTCTTTTTTTTTTTTTTTTCTTCCCAATAAGATGATTTCAAAATGTAAACGGCCCAGTCCTACAAGATGCTCGACGAGCACCACTTAAGCATGTTCAGCATCTTAGAGGAGAGCTGTGTGCTCCTGGCAGGATTATACCATATCAGCCACCTTATTTAACAGTTAACTTTTTTCAGAGGCTTTATGATTTGCCTTGTCTGGCTCCTCTGCTCTGTCGCACAGTTGCTTTGGAGGGGCTGAATGTTTCTGACGGTCTTTCTGTATTTGCTTTTCTGTGCCTTGCTCCCCCCCGTTTTCACAACAGTAGGCTGGTCGCTTGTAATGGAGGATGTGGAGATGTGAGCTCGCTGAATGTTTCCCAAATCGAAGCGCCCGCCACCCAAAGTCTTTGTACGTTTGTAATTATAAATGGACGTGTATCAGTGCTCTCGGCCAACTATTTATTGGTTTAAAGGAAAGCGCCAAACTTTGTGACGAAACCTGCACTGTTTGAAACTGAATACAGCTGAACTTAAACTCAGTTTGGGCGGGCAGTGCCTTTTTTCTGTATTTTTGGGGGGTAACTCTAATGTTAATAATTGCGATTTTACAAACGGCCGTCCTGGCCTGCCAGCACTTGCGCAGTCTGCGCCCCCTACGGCCGCCCCGTAACGCAGTGTGCGTAACGCACGACTCTATGGGAGCTACCGCCTCCGCAGGCCTCGCTTTCCCATTGGCTCCGAGGCGGGACGTGGCCCCGCCCACCGCCCTTGATTGGCTTCCGACCTTCTCCCGCCTTCCCCGTCTCCCTGGCAACGCGGACGCCGGGCGGGGTGAGGGGGGTCCGGCTCCCTGCTCGGCTGGGGGGGGCGGCGCATGCGCACGGGGGCGCTGCGCGGCGAGCGGTGGGCGCGATGAAGGTGAGGCCGGGCGGGGGGGGGGAGGGGGAGGGGGAGCGCGCTCGGCTGGGGCCTGAGGCGGGAGGCGGGAGGTGGGAGGCGGGGGGGGGGGGGGGGGGGGAGCGGGCGCCGCGCCCCTCATGGCCGCCCCCGGCGGCTCCGAGCCGTTACCGGCGGCCCTGGGGCCTCCCGCTGGAGCCCGTCCGTGCTCCCGCGTTAGTCATCGTTGGTTAAATGTTGGTTAAAAATTTGCGTCTTTTCATTAAACTCGCTTCCAATTGAACGCTGTTGTCGGGTGGTCTCTGTGCTCGTGGCGCGCGGCGCTTGTGGTGTTGCTCGTTTTGTTCGCTCAAACGCAAATTCCGCGTGAGGAATGCCTCAGAAGAAGGGGCAGAGACCTTTTGGGGAAAAAAACAACACAAAAACAAGCTTTCCTGCCCTTTGTGGGACGCCAGACAGTGGTGTTTAGCTGATGATGTGGGAGGGGAAAAAGTCCTAAAAGTTGTTGGGTTTATCCTACACCCTAGTCATGGAAAAAGTATGAGCGTAGTATGAAAGTTAAAGGAAAGTTAATAAACTCAGTGAGAAATAAAGTTTTTACAGTTTTTAAAGTTTTTACTTCATAGCCCCAACTTTTAAGACCCAACGATTTAGGGAGATCAAGATACTTACACATCTTTCAAAGGAGTAGATGTTGAGCTCTGTTTGAAGCACTGAAGACGCTATTTGGTCCAACACTTATGCATGAAATTTAAAGAATTAGATATTCCAGTCTTCAGACGTGAAGGGGGGAGTCTCATGCAATCTTTTGATTCCAGTAACACCAAGTGGAAAAAATGGTAGTTGTGGTGAGAGTCCCAGTAGCTCTCCATGCAAACACCCAGCACCAGAAACTTTGACTTTTCCAGCACAAACCAAAATACTTTTCTTTGGCGTTTTGGTACAATAGAATAGTACAATAGAATCATCCTGAAGTTGTTTTGTTTTTCTTCACGTAGAAAGTTCTGACATTGTTTTATGCTTGTGATGATAAGATGTGCAATTTCCCTCTCTTTGTTCCCCAGCAAGTCTTCAGTCTAATAGAAAAATCATGGTCTGGTTCCTCTGTGCAGTTTGCTTGGCAGAAAACTTTGGGAAATTTCCTTGCTGTAACAGGGTAAGATTACAAATATTTGTTGCGTTTATTGCATAGAAATCATTGAGAGTAGAGTCAAAAACATTGTTACAGAGTTCTAAAAGATCTACAAGAGGGCCGGAGGGCAGACCCGGGAAACTACAGGCCTGTCAGTTTGACCTCAGTGCCAGGGAAGCTCATGGAGCAGATCCTCTTGAGAGTCATCATGCGGCACTTGCAGGGCAAGCAGGCGATCAGGCCCAGCCAGCATGGGTTTATGGAAGGCAGATCCTGCTTGACGAACCTGATCTCCTTCTATGACAAAGTGACGCGCTGGGTGGATGAGGGAAAGGCTGTGGATGTGGTCTACCTTGACTTCAGCAAGGCTTTGGACACCGTCTCCCACAGCATTCTCCTCAAGAAACTGGCTGCTTGTGGCTTGGACTTGCGCACGCTTCGTTGGGTTAGAAACTGGCTGGATAGCCGGGCCCAAAGAGTCGTGGTAAATGGAGTCAAGTCCAGTTGGAGGCCGGTCACCAGTGGCATTCCCCAGGGCTCGGTGCTGGGGCCGGTCCTCTTTAATATCTTTATCGATGATCTGGACGAGGGCATTGAGTGCACCCTCAGTAAGTTTGTAGATAACACCAAGTTAGGTGCGTGTGTCGATCTGCTCGGGGGTAGGAAGGCTCTGCAGGAGGATCTGGATAGGCTGCACCGATGGGCTGAGGTCAACTGTATGAAATTCAACAAGGCCAAGTGCCGGGTCCTGCACCTGGGGCGCAATAACCCCAAGCAGAGCTACAGGCTGGGAGATGAGTGGTTGGAGAGCTGCCAGGCAGAGAAGGACCTGGGAGTGATAGTGGACAGTCGGCTGAATATGAGCCAGCAGTGTGCTCAGGTGGCCAAGAAGGCCAACGGCATCCTGGCTTGTATCAGAAGCAGTGTGACCAGCAGGGCTAGGGAGGTGATCGTCCCCCTGTACTCGGCTCTGGTGAGGCCGCACCTCGAGTACTGTGTTCAGTTTTGGGCCCCTCGCTACAAGAAGGACATCGAGGTGCTTGAGCGGGTCCAGAGAAGGGCGACGAAGCTGGTGAGGGGCCTGGAGAACAAGTCCTACGAGGAGCGGCTGAGGGAGCTGGGCTTGTTCAGCCTGGAGAAGAGGAGGCTCAGGGGCGACCTTATTGCTCTCTACAGATACCTTAAAGGAGGCTGTAGTGAGGTGGGGGTTGGCCTGTTCTCCCACGTGCCTGGTGACAGGACGAGGGGGAATGGGCTTAAGTTGCGCCAGGGGAGTTTTAGGTTAGATGTTAGGAAGAACTTCTTTACTGAAAGGGTTGTTAGGCACTGGAACAGGCTGCCCAGGGAGGTGGTGGAGTCACCATTCCTGGAAGTCTTTAAAAGACATTTAGATGTAGAGCTTAGGGATATGGTTTAGTGGGGACTGTTAGTGTTAGGTTAGAGGTTGGACTCGATGATCTTGAGGTCTCTTCCAACCTAGTAATTCTGTGATTCTGTAAACCAAAGCAAGGTATCTGTCAACTCCTTACAAATGTAAATACATGATACTTCTGTTACTGCAATTATAAAACCTCAATGTGGAGAAAGTTTTAACCCATTATTTGCAGATGAAGAAAGGGAATTATTCCATGTGTTAATATTTTTTAGAGGTGATCGCACGGTGAGCATTTTTGATCGTCACGGTCAGAAGATAAATGAAATTACCTTACCAGGGTAGGTACTAAAATGGATTGAAATTGTTTTCTTCAAATTGTTTTCTTTAGAAGTGCTATTCTTCTGGTGAGGTGCTTATACAGTAAGAGATGTATAGGCATAGATACTGGCTCTGGTGTTTGTGCCTGGAAAAGAAGACAAACTGATGAGCATGTATGGAATATGAGACAGTAAAAGCTGAATTCATAGTAAGCTGTCACGCTTAGTCAGAAAAATACATCTTCAAACCCAAAACACTTCTTATTAATAGGAAACTCAATCTAATTCATTACAAATGTTAGAAAATATGTATCATGACAGTAAGAAAGAATGTAGTAAGGTCATAAACAGAACATCCATGTTATGCTAATTGTGACTATACTACTGAGCATTTTGTGGTACTTTGTATCATAGTCTTACTGAGGAAAGATGTCCTATGTTTCAGTGTACTTTTGCTTGTACTCATTCTGCACAGCAGTTGCCCAGCAATTGTGATAAATGCTCATTCTGTCCAAAAAATGCCAAAAGAAAGGTATGCTTCTGCATAGCTTTCTTATCCAAGATCATTATTATACTTGTTGATCTAGGAGAAAAACAACTCAAATACTGAATAGACTCTAGAAAAATAGAACCATACAGGAGGCTTTCATTGTCACTTGAAAATTTAGGTGTCGGTATTTCAAGTATTAGAATATAAGTAGCAGTCCTTTTAGTTACTGACCTTCCTTTCAGCCTCTGTCATTTTGATGAGATTTGGGTAAGAGCATGGTTGCTATAAAAATAAACTTTCCAGATAAATCCACAGCCTGTCATGAGTTTTTACAGGGAGGGAAAGGGAAGGACAGGGACTTCAACCGGTTAATTCTGGCTCTTTCTGTATATTTTCAAACATATTTTAATGTTATTAGTGAAACTCTACTTTATTTTTCTTCAGTAACTGTGTTACCCTGGACTGGGATAAAGATGGAGATACTTTAGCAATAATTACAGACAAATCTAGTGCCATTTATCTCTGGGATGCCAACACAAACAAAACAAGCCAATTAGACAGTGGCATGAGGTAAGAAAGTCTTGTTTTGTTTTGTTTTTAAAGTGTATTTAAAGACAGACCACTGTGTGCTGCTGCTCTTTATGCTCTCTTTTATGTCAGCTAAGAAACTGATGTGAAGGTAGAATAAAGGAGTTTGGTCTTTAACTTGGTTGAATTACCATCAAGACATCATACTCATGCTTTGTAATCTTTGTTTTTTGCCTTAGTGTTGAGTATGTGTTGCATTTAACTTGTAAAATCTTATAGTTATGTAGCTATTTGAGAAGCCTGTTAATTCATGTGTGTTTTTCTGGAAACTGGAATGCATACTGACATGTGAACCATGGGCCCATTCAGTTGGTGTGAAAGCACTTACATTCTCTAGCTTTGAAGTCCAACTTCAGGCTTCCAGTAGAGAGAAAAAAAATAACCCTGGAAATTGGGTACCCAGGTGCTTGAGTTACCCTCTGAAGGGAACCTTACTGTTTGTAGGCTAAGAGTACAGAAAGACTAGGAGATAACTAAGTTAGACATGTACAGTTGGAAAATGGGAGTTACCATCCTGTCCCATATCTCAGCTTTGGAATTTCTTTTTTCTATTCTTTTTAAAGAGCTTCTTTAAAAGACTTGTTGATGTGGAGGATATATTGCAAAAATCATCCTTTTACTGGAATCCTCATAGCACATATACTCTTAAGCTAATATCCTACAGTTTGTTGCTGGGTTCTTTCTGGTATGATTTGCTGGTTTTGAAGTGGTTTTTTGGTTGGTGGTGTTTGTTTACTTTAATTGTAAATAAGGCCAAAGTCCCCAGAGAGGTTCTCAGTGTTTCAACTCTGGTAGCAGCAAGGATGGGTGACTTTTTTAGGTATCCGCACAAGTCATGCATTCTTCAAAGTACTTCACCTGAAAAAATGGAAACTTAGAAGTAAGAATGGTGATTTTTAGTGCTGATGGTATTTGCTTCCCTTAGAGTTGTGAGGGGACTGAAATCCCATTCACAAAAGAGGATGAGAGGGGTACTGAAGGCACAGGTTCAGATCCCTCTTTTTGAATTGGGTCAGAGACTTAAAACTCTTCTGAGGCTTACATAACAATCAAGCATTAGGTTAACAAATAAGCTTGGTTTAACAATTAAACTCATAGATTTTTGAATCTATTCCACTAAACTGTTCTACTCTACATAAACATTCACTGTGTGTAGGAAAGAGAGTGGAAATGAATCTGTCCCGTGGTTATTAGGGCACTCACCTGAGCAGAGAAACAGCTGATTGGGTACTGCCTCTGTTTTATTAATCTAAATTGAGACAAAATCTTTTGACTTAACGCTTTTTTTTTTTTTTTGTATTTTCTTTTACTGTAAAAAATAGTCAAAGATATTAAAATGTGAGTGTTTCATCCACTAAATAAAAAAAAATAGAATAGGTCAGCTGGAAAAATGGAGATGGGGGGAGATGTTGGGTTTTTAGAGGATATTGTTTTCTCCAGATTTAGGTTGAAAACTCTGACTGCAGAATATGGAAACATCCCATTTTTTCAAATAAGAGTGAAGCTGATGTGAGAGGCATTGATGGAAATAGCTGTACTAATTAGAAAATTCTGATTAAAATTGTTTTGCTTTTTTAAAATGCCCTATGTAGTACTTTTCTGTGGGCCCATAAATATATACTAAAACTATCTCTGCTTTATCAGAAAATTGAAGTTAAAAACGCTCTTTCAAAGCTTTTATATTACATTGACTAGTAATCAGAGAAATAGATCTACTCATTTGGAATTGACTGAATTCACTGGAATTGAATTAAGTACAAAAAAAAACAATGCAGAAAGCAACTGGAAAATAGCACTTACCTACATTATATCTTAGAGTGCTTCTTAAAGCTGATTATTTGATCAAATTACCCATGAATCCATCAAAACCACTGGGTTTACAGGCACAGTTTCACTTGTACAGGTCTTATTCCATTACTTAATAGCACTTTTTATTACTTTCACTATTTTTGGACACTTAAATAACTCTGATACTTGTTGTAGAGAACATTTGCTTCATTTAGAAGTTCTGCTTTGGTCTGTATGGTTTCATAAAACTTCAAACCAAGTATGCAAAATACTTTTGTATGTAAGCATGTGAAAGGAAGCTGCTACACAAAGTAATTATTTTGTTTATTTTAGGGATGCAATGTCTTTCTTATTATGGTCTCGAGTTGGAAGTTTACTTGCCATTGGAACCACAAAGGGAAACTTGCTTATATATAACCGCCAGACTTCTCGCAAGATTCCTGTTCTTGGTATGCATTGTTTTGAAATTAGGCTTGCACATTTGAAATGATGGAATTTTGCCACTGTGCTTGCTTTTCTTTTTTTGTTCTGTGTGTGAGTATGCAAAACAAAAATGTGCTTATACTCAACTTGCACCTTCCATTTTTTATATTAGTGGTTTTATAGTTCAGTACGTTAAAAAAAAATTTACATATACGTGATGCTGCCTCATGAGAAACTTGTGCTGTCTTTCTTCCTTTACAACTTGCAAGGGTGTTTATTGTCATGTGGTTATTGTTGTTGCTAAGTTACTTTTCTAACCTGCTTAGGACACCTGTGGACAATAAAATTAAGGATAGAAACTTGATGCAAAGAAATGGAAGAATGGGGACTGTGCAAGTTCCTATGAGGCCAAAAGACTTCCACCTGGGCTTAGAAAGTAAATAAAAGATTGTGTATTGAGTTTGTAATTTCTTTGCTAAGTTGCTTCACATTCTGATAATTTGAGTGGCCAAATAGAATATATTTCCGTTCCAGATGTTTTCTGTGGTTGTTTTCATTCGTATAGTGTAGATTTCTTTCTTTTTCAGGTAAGCACACTAAGCGGATTACTTGCGGTTGTTGGAGCACTGAAAACCTTCTGGCTCTAGGCGGTGAAGATAAAATGATTACTATAAGCAATCAGGAAGGGGATACTATCAGACAGGTAGTATTTATAACCCACATTTGATTTTAAGACATACATTGGTACTCCTGGTTCTTGGGAGAGCTACGGCATAAAGGAACTAGGACCTATGGGAGCCTATGCCTTTTCAGTCCCTCTGCTTGCAAGGATAGAGGCTTTGGGAAAACTCATATAGGATGAGGGCTTATCTAAACATTTGAGCCTCTGTGTTATGCACCATGATTTATGATATTAGAATCTCTAAAGAGATTCTAACATGTCATTATAATCCAAACTGACTTCATTTTTTTTCCAACTTTTTTCTTTTTTTGTGTTACTGAATGCAATGACAGCTCTATCTATCCTTAACACTAAAATGTACAGGGCAGGAATAATGCAATTGTTTATCATTGGTATTTGCTGCATTTAGTACTGATTTTTCAATCTGAACTTCTTTCTTGCAGACCTCAGTGAACTCAGAACCCAGTGATATGCAGTTCTCAGTTATGAAGACTGATGAAAGAGTATCAACCAGGGAAAGCACAGTAAGAAGCTAATACAAAATCCTGCAAAAAGTGCTGATCTGCTGGCAATAAGTGTCGGCCAGGATTTTTTTTTCCTTGACTTAAAATTTGATGTTAAAGCTTTCATTTTGTTTTTAGCTATTATTTTTTTTCTTCCCCCCAAAACCTCCTTCCATTAAAGTAAAGCTATACCCCTTTGTTTACTAAGGATGTGTTCATAAAAAAGACAGACAGCAGTTTTGCAGTAATAGTAAATGTAATAGATGGAGATGTGTGCAGGGAAACACAATATATACACCAATATATGCAAAATGTAGATGGAAACAATACAAGAATGTCAAACCTGCAGAGATGCCTCCTTTCAGAGGCCAGTTTTTCAGCGTACAGCAGATCTGTTTTGGGAACAGACCCAGTGCTCTTTGGGTTTTTGTCTTGTGCAGACCTCAGCATTGGTGAGACTAGAAGCCTGGTATCAATCTTCCTTGTGAGCATGATTCTGCTTCTGTCTAGATGGCTGCGGTTTTTTTTGTCTTCGTTGTCTTCCTTGAGTGAATCAAGGTCCGTTAGATCAGTCAGTGGTGAAGTACAGAAAAATGGGGTAAGGATAAGGGTTAGCAGAGCATGCTAGTAAATGATCAGCAGTTACGTACTAAAACTGAAATCTGTGGATAGCGAAGTGGTACTGTGTTACAGTTAGTCCAGATCCATACACTTAACTGTAGGCAGATAATTCAGTTTTCAAAATCAGATATAGTCTATGCAGTATAAGGGTCAGGAAAGAATTTCCCCTGTATTACATTGACAAGGATCTGTAGGTTTTGGGTTTTTTTTTCTCTTTGCATGCAGTCCAGTGTTCTCTGCTTCCTAGGGTAATTTTAATTAACAGATGTTTTGAAAATGCAGGAACCGAGGGCTTTGACACCACTGATTTCCTCTGCTGCTTCTCAGGATGTGCAGTAGGCTAGGCTTCTCTTTTTTGTTTGTTTGTTTCAGCACTCAAGTTTGCTGTAAAACATCAGAGAACGTTCTGTAATTCTGTAGTTCTTGGTTTGTGCTTGAATGGTGTGCAGCAGTTTAAACCACATACCATTTATTGTCTAGGTGTCTGTTCTTGCAGGGGCATGGCTTGATAATGATCAATTCCAGTCTGTTGCTTAATCACCCTGGAAAAAAAAAATGCAAGTTGGATCAAAATAAGTAGTGTGTTAACATGCATTGAAATATTAATTAGTGGTGTGGTTTAGTGGAGGACTTGTTAGTATTAGGTCAGAGGTTGGACTAGGTGATCATGGAGGTCTCTTCCAACCTAGATGATTCTGTGATTCTGTAATTAAATAATTCCTATAATTTCTTAGAAGAGTTTAAGAAATAATATTTCTTAAATAGTTCAGCATTCAGCTGCAGTGGAATTATAATCAAATTGTCTTAAAGGACAGAAAACATACTTTAAAATTTGAGGTAAATTTAGGAAATGCAGGTCTGAATTTGAGTTGCATTTCTGAATTAATAGATGTCTAGGTCAGCACATGCTCAGCTTTAAAATACTTGTTATGTCAAAGTACAGCTTTGTATTTCAGTCTTTCAGCACTTATTTTACAAATAAACCATCCTCTTCTTTTTAGACAAGGAGGGCTGGAACAGAACGAAATGTAAAATGAACTTGTAAACAGCCCTTCAAAGTATCTTTGTTAAAGAAAAAGGTGAAGCAATCTCCTCCTTCTTTCTTTTTCTAAAACGAGTGCTTTACTCTTGCGTGACAATCACACACGTTATGGTAACAAAAATAATATTAAAAGAAAAAAAGTTCCATCACCCTGCTTTTGACTACGAAGTCCAACAACTCTTGTGTTTTTCATCAAAATAAATGTGCTTACCTAGACTGATATCAAACTGTAAATATGCATGTTTAATACAAACTGAACAGGCTGTTTCTTGTGTTTTTGGTTTGGTTTGTGTTTTTTTTGTGTGTGTGTTTGAATTGGTGTTCTTGTGTTTGAAATCTCAGCAAGTTACTTGAAATAGCAGTGTTGTGATAGCCATCACTACAACCTTCCAGACAGAAATTCTGTAGATTGAAAAACACGTTGTTGTTCAAGTGAGAGTAGTCCAACAGGATCCGTGTGGCCTGCTGCCTTTTCCCCTGAGGAAATGGGTTCGCATAATGCTTCTGCAGGGACAAGTGTTGAATTTGAGATGTGTGCTCTCCTGGGCTTGTATTTAGATCTGTGAACCACTGTCTCAGAAGGGGAATATCCTGAAAATCTCTTCCATTGTTGATTAAGGCTCAGGATTCAAATCCATAGGGCTCTTATGGATTCCCTTAAGTGCTGAATCTCATCTTTTAGGGAGAATGTAGGGCTTTATTTTAAAGTGATGCCATTCTTGCTGAGTTAATTTTTTCTTTTCATTCATTGGCAGGTAAGTGTAGTGGTCGGCAAGAAGACTCTCTTTCTTTTTAATTTGAATGATCCTGATAACCCGATTGATCTGAAATTTCAGCAGTCTTATGGCAGTATTGTAACGTACAGATGGTGAGCAGACTTCCTTAATGCAGCATTCTCGTATTAGCAAGTTGAAGATTTTCACAGTAGTTCTGATAAATGCTGGAAATGAAAGTGTATATCCCTTGCTTACACTGGACTTCTCTTGGATGTATGAATCTACATTTTATAATCCTTTTGTTTAACAGTTCACTGGCTACGAAAGCAGTGTTGTCAAAATGTATTCATCATTGGTATGCTCTGTTTTAGAACAATAATACTGTTGCTGTCCTGACAGTAGATAAAATTGAGGGCTTAATAGGTTGCTCTCCAATTGGATAATTAAGCGATGAAAGAGCTGGGAGTGGAGTTGAATCTTTTGGCTTTTTTTCTGGGTTTACAAACTTAAATAAAGTTCTTGTAGCTTCCCTGCTTGGTAATCTAATTGGTTAATATTCATTTGAAGAAACCCCTAACTAGAAGTTTCCATTCTGTACCCAAAAGTAGCTGTCTTGTTTCTATATCTTTGACACAGTCTTTGTTCAGTCAATGTGTTACTAACACTTACTGCTAACACTTAAACTCTGTAAGAAAATTTGTATCTGCACATTTCTTAATTTATGGCCACGTATCTAACAAGATAGATCTAACAGTCTGCTAGGAAGCAGACGGTTTCCTTTGTGATTTTTTTTTTTTTCAATTAAGCAGATCAGATACAGCATGTCAGGGTTAATTCAAACAAGTAACTATTTCTGCTACAAGTAACTATTTCTGTTTTAACCTGATTATTTGTACTTGCCACTATAAAAAGTAAACAAGCCATCTATTCACAGATACACACTGTAGCTTTGCTACTTTCACTGTGTTTGTAGCAGCATGCCTTAAGGGCAAAATGACTGCCATTATTGTTTTTAGCATAGCTTTGAAGTGACAGAGTCAGCCATAACCTTGAAATAGAATTTTCCATCTTCTGGCATGCTTATTCTAATGATGATACTCAAATTCCTTCTCCTCGCATCGTTGTCATGTATACTGCTTGCTGAAAGTAGAAGGGCATTAAAGAATTTAGTAGAGAGAATAAAGAAGATCTAAGATTAAATGCTGAGCACGCTTGCATGAAAATTTTGTTTTTCTCCTTTAAGATATTTGTGGTTTTTTTTCACCTTAATCTGTACTATACTGTGTTGTACTACACTATACATATAAATTCCCATACTTTTATTATTTTTCCCATTAAAAAGAGTCATTGACAGATTTTCATACTACATAAATATATCTCTTCTGGTAATTTTTTAACAGGTATGGTGATGGCTACATTATGATTGGTTTCTCACGAGGATGTTTTGTAGTCATTTCTACACACATTCGTGAAATAGGTCAAGAAATCTTTCAAGCTCATAATCATAAGGATAATCTAACCAGCATTGCTATATCACAGTCATTGAACAAAGCTGCATCATGTGGAGACAATTGGTAAGGGATGGTTTTATACATAACAAATCGGGTTCGTCTCTTGTAACTTCATCTGTTTCTTTCCCACCCTGGAGGCCTTCCAAACTGGATGAGTTGTGCCTTTTCCTCAGATTTTAGTTCTGTGAACAAATCATTTTGTACAGTTGCAGCAATAATCTATTTAGAGTGTTGGATAATGAGAGAGAAAGGAAGAGACTGTGTGTATTGCTCTTTAGGAAATAGAAGGCACTTTACATTCATGCTCTAATTTTGCTCAATTAGGCTGTCTTGATAGGGTTGGATTGTGTTTATTCCAGTTTATGATGACTGAAAATTGTAGTAGTGAGCATGACTGTTTATTTTTGTTGCAGCATTAAAATCCATGATCTGTCAGACCTGAGAGAGATGTATGCTATAATAAACCTGGATGATGAAAACAAAGGTATGTTAAATAGTCCTCTGCTTGAGGAATTAAATTTTTACAGTCGGGTAAAACAGAATTTTGATGGTGACTCTGTTTACATTCATGCATTAATAAAAAGTGTTGTTGCTGAAAAACTGTATAAATATAGAAATTACCATAAAGTCCTTCTTTCTCAATTAGTATACGTGTACGTTTGGAGACTCATAGCAAAATGGGAAAATGCAGTTATTTCTAACAAGTTTTAAAGTATAGAGAAGTACAGCTCTAAGAATATTTGATTAATTACAGACTGTCAGTTTTTCAGGTTTGGTTTTGGTTGTTTTTTTTTTGTTTGTTTTTTTGACTCTGTATTGTGTTCTATTCAGATTACTAAAATAACATACTTAACCGTTTTCTGCTTATTTCCATATTTTTGGGGTGATTGAGTTTTTTGGTGCTTTTCTGCATCTCTTGGACTACGGGATAATGCCTAATCTGTTCTCATCCTGATTTGTGCAAGTAGCTTCCAGAACGTTCTTATAAGTTCTCGAGTAACAAGTTACTGCTATCATCTCCTGTTGAAGTATCTGCAGATATTTCAGTTATTATTATACTCGCTCTTAGGAAGATGCTAAATTAGTAAATTATGGTTTTGGTTTGAGTGATTCTAGTTAATCTTGGAATTATATTAATTGGTTAGGTTGTAATACATTAGTACACATATTCCTAGGTAGGAATTCCTGTCATTGTCACATTTTAAAGTGAAGTAATTGTTTCTTGGTTTCATTTCCATAGTCCAATAAATGATTTTTGCAAAAACTTGTAAATATTTTAGGTGTAGAACAGCTGGCTTGGACAGATGATGGACAGTTGTTGGCAGTATCTACACGAAGAGCATCCCTTCATGTTTTCTTGACAAAGCTTCCAATCCTGGGAGATGCTTGCAGTACGCGGATCGCATACCTCACATCTCTTCTTGAAGTTACTATAGCCAACCACGTGGAGGGAGTATGCTAGCCTCTTCCTTTTAAACTTTGTTTAGGTAAAAGTAAAGTAAGAATTAATAGCGGATGGAAATTGATACTCTTTTTCTTACAGGAGCTACCAGTCACTGTCTCTGTTGAAGTAGAGCCCAGTTTTGTTGCAATTGGTGTCTATCATTTGGCTGTAGGAATGAACAATCGGGCTTGGTTTTATGCACTTGGAGAGAACAGTAAGCATAGATTTCATTCTCTTATTTTAAACTACTGCATTGTGTGTCATTTTTTTTCTGTAAGTGCAGTATTGTGTAATTGGTAAATGTTCGTGTTGTTTGTATGGTGTAAGGTGAAATTTGTTACGCTATAATCAGATTTTGGACAGTGGTATCTATAGTTTTCACGCCTCTCTAACCAGAACCTTTTTTGAATAACAATAGATTAATCAAGACTGTAACAATATTAGTCACAGTTGCATAGGAAGAGATTCTCTTGTACTTTCTAACTAGTTTTCTGACTGCTAGGAAGAAAGTCTCTGTATGTATGACTTGTCCCTCTGCTTATTTGTGAGTTCTTCACATGTGGTTACTCAGCTGCAAATTTACATTATAACTTACATTATTAAAATCAAAACGCTTATATCTGTTTCTTTTCTGTTTGAAATCTGTAGATGTGAAAAAGCTTAAAGATGTGGAGTACCTGGGTACAGTTGCAAACATGCATCTTAATTCTGATTATGCTGCTGCTCTCTTTGAGGGTAAAGTCCAATTGCATATGGTAAGAGCTCTGGCAATTTGGAGTGCTGAACTAATGAGTAGATTTAAGTTAAAACAAGTTTTAAACTTGAGAGAAAATGGTGTAATCTTCTGTTAAAGAAAATAAAAATAATAACTCTTCAGATATTTTTTTTCTGGCTAATTAAAATATAAAACTGAGTTTCTAGAGACTTTAGAAATATAAACTACTCTAGAACATGTAAGAGAAAATGTTTTCTTTTGAATTATTTCCCGTGGACAGGAAAAGTTGTTTTCATCTCATTTGCATACAGTTTGATACAGGTAAAACTTTGATACGTTGTTGTTAAAAGTGTAGTGTTTAAGTTCATTTTATTCTTTACATTTAGATAGAAAGTGAAGGCTTGGATGCTCAGGAAGAACGGGAAACTCGTCTCTTCCCAGCAGATGATGATAAATGCCGAATTTTATGCCATGCTTTAACTGGTGACTTCCTTATATATGGCACAGATGTGAGTATTATTTCTGTTTTTAAGTGTCTTTTTAAACTGAATATGTTTCTACCAAATGATTTGGATTATTACTCATGATATTTTTAGCAAGAAATTATGCTTCTGAGAAATTTAATGTGTATTATCTTCTATGCAAAAGCAGTTAAAATTGCATCCAGCTTCTTTTACTATTGAATTTATGTGAGATGTTTTGGCAGGAGGATTAAGTTTTGCTTTTGCTAGTGTTTGGTGCAAAGGGCTGCTTTTTAATAAGGTCATCATCTCCTTTTTTTTGGTCCTGTCCCCTAAAAAGCCTCAAGTTTTCCTATCCTGACCAATAGCATCTGTGAAGGAGGAAAGAAGCCAAAAAAGAAAGCTGGAAATGCTTTTCTTTAAACATTCTCCATGCTCAGATTCTAGGAAGGGAAAAACTACACTCAAGTTAATTATCTACTTGCTATTTATTAGTGTCATTATTAGCTTTTTCTGCTATTTCTTACTAGACTGGAGTAATTCATTATTTCTACATTGAAGACTGGCAATATGTGAATGAATATCGTCATCCTGTCGGTGTGAGAAAAATTTTTCCTGATCCCAATGGAACCAGACTGGCTTTCATAGATGAAAAAAGTGATGGCTTTGTCTACTGCCCAGTAAGTTAGTGTGGGATACCCATGCCATTGTATTTACAAGTAAGCTCTTACATGCTGGAGTGACTTAAGTTTTTTTGTTCTCTATTACACACACTGTATGTTGGAAGAAGAAATTGCCAGAAAGTCTCGAAGATAACCTAATGGTAATGTAAGGAAATACAAATGTCACAGTAGATCAGGACAATTTAATTATACTAATTTCCTTGTCAGTAGTTATCAGAAATGAATGCATTTGTGTATTCAAATACAGATAATTTAGCCAGGTAACAAGTACTACCTTTCAGTTTCACTGCCTGTCTTAATACCCTTCTTCTAAGGAAAATAAATATCATGCTTATAACATGTATTTTCTCCATTTACTTCCTTTATGAATTAAACAATTTTTGTTTGTTATTCAGAGTCGCTGCTCATAAGAAAACTTATTTGTAATATGAATTTCATATTTCTGCACTACTTTTATTTCTTTATTTTTATTCCTTATTATGATGAAAATTTACCTTGTGTCTTTAGTCTTGCTTCCTAGTAATTTGACTTTTGCATTATTTGTAGGTAAGTGATAGATTATATGAGATTCCAAATTTCTCACCAACTATTAAAGGAATCCTGTGGGAAAACTGGCCAATGGATAAAGGTGTTTTTGTTGCTTATGATGATGATAAAGCGTATACTTATGTCTTTCATAAAGATGCCATTCAAGGTACTGTAAATTCTTTTAAAATCTTATTAACTGTTTCAGTTAATAAAGCAAAGCATGTTCTATTTTTTCTTTTCTGTTAAATATTTTCATAACTGCATATGAAAATGAACAGTATTACACAAGTTTTGAAGTGGAACCGATTAACAGAAAAATAGCTGCTGTGTAGGTTTCTCTGTAAAGTTGGTCTTAACCCTTCAGGCTTTATGCTACTATAATCTTTTCTCTGAAATTTACATGTTGTGCTTTAACTGAATTTTGAAATATTCATGAGAAACTCTTTGGATCGAGATGACAAAACTCGTATTCACTTACTGTAATCATAGCAGTTCCTGTATTTTTGACAAACACCAATAAATTTATCAACAAACATTTGGAAAATTACTGTAATAATTTAGAAGATTTAAATTACGTATTTTTACTATGCTAAAAAGCATACACTTGTACAGTAGATTGTGACTGAGAATTAGAGACCTTGAGTTAATACACAGCATATTTACACTGACTGTTTATCATGTTTTTCACCAAGTAGGGATTTTTTAAAATGAAATCTTCTTTTCTTCCTGATCCTAAAATATTAGGATCCAAGGTTATATTGGCAGGTGGCACCGATGTCCCCTTTTCCCATAAACCTTTGCTGCTGTATAATGGAGAACTAACTTGTCAGACTCAGAGTGGGAAAACAAACAATATCTATCTCAGTACTCACAGTTTCCTTGGAAATTTGAAAGACTTTGGACCTAATGAGCTGGCAGAAATGCTTACTCAAACGTTAATGTTGAAAAGGTACATCTGTGTTTTAATTATATTGTGTAAAATGTTTTCTTCTGTGCTTATAGCTCTATACAATGTATCCTAGTGATCTAAAAATGTCATACTGAGTATTGATAAATTATATTGATCCCTCAGGCCTTGTAGTTGTCTATGCAGACCAAAGTAAGTGACAAACTGCTGCTTTATTTGTTTTTCCACTGTCAAGTAAAAGTAATTTTTTCAAAACTGATCTGTGGTTCTATGACAGTGGCTCTTCCAACACCAGCTAAAAGTGATTCTTGCCCCCTCACCTCACAATGTAATGAAACAAAGAGAAATCAGTATAATGGAAAGAATGCCAGAATAGGAAAAGCAGGTGATTTCCTGAAAAAGTGTGGTAAAAATAGGAGAATACAGTGCAGTAAGTTATATATTTGTAGTTCTCCTTTTTTTCTGGTAATTGTCTCTCCATGGCTTAGAAGTAGAGACTTCTTGGGTTTTCCCTGCCATAGTATTAGGAATAAAATGTGTTGAGAAGGAATTTTAGATATAAGTAATATTAGTTTTAAGTTACTTTTGTTTTCTGAAGGTTTTCTGAAGCTTGGGAGATATGCAGGCTTCTGAATGACCCATCTGGTTGGAATGAACTGGCCAAAGCCTGCTTATATCATATGGAGGTGGATTTTGCAATACGTGTTTATCGGACGTTTGGTAATGCTGGGATGGTGATGTCACTAGAACAGATAAAGGTAAAATGTAAAGTCACTTTTAATGGGAAACATTATGCATTAATTCTTAAGAATTGCTGAATTCTTATTCTTTTTGTGGAAATTTTGTTTCTTTTTAAATAAAAGGTGAAATATTTTCAAGGGAGTTAGTAGTCAAAGAGGGAAAAAAAAAAGTATTCAAACTGCAGAACTCTTGCCAGTTTGCTCTTCGAGCGGTTGCAGCATTCTACTGGGATGCACAACATTCTTTCCCACATTTGCGTGAGAGCAGCAGGATATGTCCATGTGTCAGACAAACTCTTTCCCTTTGTTATTTGTGAGAAAATGTTTAAGGCCACTAATATTTCCTAGGCAGATTGAAGTTAGATTTCTAAAAGTGAACGTGAAATTGTACCTTAAGAATATGCTTCTGCAAAATGCTGATTTTAGACAGTGATTGCAATACTGGCCTTGAGCTACAAAAGGAAAGTGAGGGCTTTTTCTGATTTGTAGAATCTGATACGTATAATTGTTGAATGTCCAGATGTATTGTTTTACTGTGTATAATAGATTATGTTGCTTATGACCTTTTGTTTTGTTTTGTTTTGTTTTTTTGTCTTTTCGCATACTATAGCACCTATTGTGTCTTTTTACAGGGAATAGAAGACCACAACCTTTTAGCAGGACACCTTGCCATGTTTACTGGTGATTTTAATCTGGCTCAGGATTTATATCTGGCATCCTCCCGTCCTACTGCTGCACTTGAGGTATTCAAGACGTGTGATTTTTTTTTCTGCAATGTTCACCTTAATGTTGAAGTATTTTACTTTCTGATAATTTTTCCCTTTTATAGTTTTCTTCTTGCTCTTGTGTGACCACCTGACATTCTTTTAGGATGTATGTAGCTCTCTCACATTGTCTGCTTCCTTCTAGAACACTAGCTCTATAATTGTATTTATATAATATTATAAGTATTATAAATATTATGGTCTTAAAATTGTACAAGTATAAATTTCATATTACAATTCAGAATTTGATATCTGCATCAGAAAATGTTGCTCTTTTTAATAGATGCGAAAAGACTTGCAACACTGGGACAGCGCGCTTCAGCTGGCTAAGCGGTTGGCCCCAGACCAAATCCCATTCATATCAAAGGAGTATGCAATGCAGCTTGAATTCACGTAAGTTCTCCTAAAAAGGTGCTGTATAAAAATATTAAACCAGTGCTCATGCTAATTAGAAAAACAATGGAATTGAGATATGTTAGCTTACGTTATTGCTGAAAAGGGAGCCTGTCAGTTGTCACAGCTATAGTGCCTGGAAGACTGTTTTTGTAAATGCTTCATGCTAGAGATGTAGGTTAGCAAATTATTTTTGATTAATTACAGTATATCTGCGTTCTTTTCAACTGGTAGGTCAACTATATAATATAATTTGCTAGTAGTTCTTTGTTGTAGGTCAATGTTTGGAAAATAGAGAAAATTCACAGCATTTGACACTTCTTCTGTTGGGTGAAAGCCTTGCATGTAAAACTTTAGTCTGTCTTTCCTTCAAGACCCAAGAACCTTCATCTTCTCACACATTTTAGATAGAGGAGTGTCAAATTACAAGCCTGACAGTCTCTGGAAGAGAGAATGTATCATCCATTTGCCAGATATTTAAGTCTATTTTACAGCTAATTCTTTGCAGATTAAACACAGTCTGTTTAACATCAAAACCAAGGGGAAAATTCCTATATATTAGTAGAGTTTCTGGAAAAACTCTTTCCCATCTCCATACTGCCCCTAGAACTGTGGGAGGACGCTTGCTGGTCACAGAAAGGAGGGAATGGGCAGCTGAAGCTATGTGACCATCTGTAACTTGTGTTGTACTTAAGAAAACTGAATATACTGAAGAAAAAGAAAAAAAGCTTTAATTTTTATGATGAAAAAATACTAAATAATTTTAGAAGATTGGTTTATTTTCCAGCAAAATGTGTGGAAGTAGAGATTAAATTATTGAGGTATATTGCACACTTGGGTACTCTTTGCCTGTCTTTTGGGGAATTTTATTGGTCTCAGTGTAAAGGAATTGAGAAACGGATGGCTCTTTTGACTAATTGCTTAATAAAGTGTGAGGAAAACACAATTGCATACTGTGTGACTTCCATCTTTTGTATGCCTTGCATCCCTGTATGTGATCTTTGTGTCTAAAGCAAGGCAGATTGATGCATAACCTGGCTCAAAGATCTGTTATAGTGGGAAGGGAATTATCACTTCCTGTTAAAACTGTTGTTCCATATAACTTCCAATTTTCTTTTAGGGGTGATTATATTAACGCTCTGGTGCATTATGAGAAGGGAATTACTAAAGACAATAAGGTAATTCCTTTTTAGTAACGATAGCATGTGTACTATCATACTAAACATTTAGTTGTCGTGTTTCAGATTTACTAGGTTTTTGTATTCAGCTCTAAATCTGTACAACTACCGCTTTGGGATACTAGTCTTTGCACTTCTGTTATTTCTAATACATAGAATGATGCTTTCTCTACTTTAAAGGCAGTACTGCCATTGTATTAACATGGCACAACTAGACTTAGGTTTTTATCATCTGAGCAGTTTCATAATAGACATGCAAATGCCATGAGTAATATTGCCAGGATTTTCATTGGTAAAACAAAAGTCCTAATTATTCCTTCTGTTCTTCTTTACTGAGTTGTTATCTGCATAAAGGAAGACAAGGATTGCATTAGAAAATAAACATCATGTTCAACAGATTATCCCTTATTCTGGCATTATTTTCCCTGATATTTACAAAATGTCTGTTATGAAACAGATCAAGTGATAATAGGGAAATGTAATAGGGAAAACAGCAATTGTTTTCTGAATTCAAGACATGAAATTACCACCTTTAAAAAAAAATGAAGAGAGACTGTAAGTGTAATATTTCTTTCTTTTTCTGTTTTTACTGTTGGTTTTGGGGAAAGAGGGGAGTGGTACTGAGCCAACTGTAAAAACATTCTCTATAGGCTTGGCCTGGACAGATTTTGTAAGTAAAATGTAAAACTTTAAGACCAAATGTTAAGAAGAAAACTATGTGGAATTCTTCTTAATAAGTAAATAATAGTTGAAATTAGGCAAGAATTGCTAGACAAAAGTTGATTTCACTGAGATCATGTAATATTTTGTTAATTGATTCGGTGCTTTGTTGCTATGGCTTTTGTGAGCTGAGGTTTCTGATGTATAACATATAGTTATTGGTTTTTTTTGATTGCTAGTACCAGGAACATGATGAAGCTTGCCTCGCTGGGATAGCTCAGATGTCCATTCGAACGGGAGATATCCGTCGAGGGGTAAACCAGGCCATCAAGCATCCCAGTAGGTTACTAAAAAGAGACTGTGGAACTATCCTGGAGAGTATGAAGGTATGCAGATGAACTAATAAAGCTAAGGTTGAATTTGTGAATACATTAAGATATTTACCTGTAATCAGAATTTACAAATGATATTATAATGATTTTCAATATTACAGCAATTTTCAGAAGCTGCTCAGCTGTATGAAAAGGGACAATATTATGACAAGGCAGCATCAGTATACATCCGGTGTAAAAACTGGTACGTACAGGTTCCAGGGAAGTGTTACATTTCTTGAGACAGAGGAAGTGCTGTGTGCTCTTTAGGAAAGAACAGATCTGTTAATACTGCATAATGTCTTATATTTCATTGATTTTTATGGTTCCCTCCTCCAAGCTTGAACAAGAACAGTGTTCACCAGATCTTCTCAAAAGCTTATGTTGGTTTAAATATAGTCTTAATGGAAAAGAAGGGTAGTCTTCCTGTTTCTTCTGGTTGTGTGATATGTTTAAATTAGTTACGTGTGGTTTTAAGTCCTTTGTGTATGTGTGTGTGTACGCGTGCGCACTCTGGATTTAATCATTTTATTCTTGTAGTTACTGTTCAGTTCATTAAATTTCCTTGGTTGTAAAATACGTAGCTGAGACTGAATATTCAGATGATTGGAAACAATTCTAAGTTTGTGGTTCAAATGGAGTCAGTATCATGAACTGTAGCAGCTAACATAATGTTCAATAATATTAACGTCTTAAATGAATTTAGTTATTGTCAAACCTACAGTGGATAAGCACAATTTATGGAGAGACTTAAGGCCTTAGTTTTTACCAAATTAAGTTTTATGCATTTTTAATATCAAGAGCAGATTATAGTAAAGATCAGAAATACCCCTCCTGTAGGTACAGTTTTAAAACTGTTCTGCTTCTGTAGAAGAGTTGGAGAATAACAGAGACAAAAATGGTCAGTCCGGCACTTCTTATGCTCATACATCTCAAACAAAGAAGATACTGTGCTACTTAAGGCCTATATGCCTATGAAGCAGTCTATAATTTCCAGTTCCATTACCATCAAGTGCAGCCTTCTGAAAATATTAAAGTGCCTTCAAAGCTTATACATTATGTTCAGTTACTGCTTTTTCTAACTCCTTTTCAATATCAATATAAATATTCGTGTTTTACTGGAGAAAATTTGAAATCAAAAATATTTCTTAAATGACTACTCTCTTGTCTATCTAGGGCAAAGGTTGGTGAGCTTCTTTCTTATGTTTCGTCTCCAAAGATTCATCTACAATATGCAAAGGCCAAAGAAGCTGATGGCAGGTGTGTCTGCATGCTTATCTGCATTTATAAAATATATTATTATTGTTTATGGAATACATTGCTCTTTCTATAAAAGACTTCAAACTTTGCATAAAACATCCTTGTGAGAAGGGAGTCTGAAATCTGTAAGTTTAAGTGTTACATTAAGATTTTAACATAGTCTAAGAACCTACCACTGGTATAAAATATGTATTTTAATTGTTGTTTTGTTCTTTTGTCCCATCCAAGCATTACTGTCTTTTTAGCAAAAATTATTAAAGGTTTTAAGGTACTGCACCTAATGCAGGATTTCAGTTAGTAGAGCGTTGAAGTCTAATTTGTTTCTAACAGCTCCTTTCATAAAGCTGTGATTTTTAAGGTCATTCAAAGTGTGAGTGATCATGAAAAAAAATTTATTCTAAAACAAATTGCTGTTACATCTTAACTGCCCTTGCAAAATACTGAATAAAGTGAAACTATTGGCTGAATGATAAAGCCCAAAATAGGTTATATTTAATCACAAAAAGTAGTTTTCTGCTTGTCTTTGTTTCTAAGTAAATGTGCTTCAGAATAATGACAGCTTATAATGTGAGACCACCAAAACTAAATGCTTGGATCAATAAGACTAGAAAATACTATTTATGTCAATTGCATATTGTGAGAATGAGAAATTTCTTGAACTTGTTTACAGAGCAGAAAATAAAGTATGATTTTTGAAATTCTGCAACTAGCTATCTGTTTGGATTTTATTGTTCGCTCAGTCCCAAGTGATTTAATATGGAACCGATGGAACAGATAATGTTCACTGATGGAACAGATTAACTACTTCTAAGATATACCCAAAGGGATGCTGGCAGAATAGGTCAAAAATACTGTTGTGGCAGAAATTCTTCTGTTGTCTCAACCTTCCATCTCCCAAGAGAAAATAAAGAGAGAAAAAAAATCTTGGTAAATAACAGAACAAGGCTATTAAATGCAAACTGAAAAGAAGATGACATAGAATAACCTCTTAGAAGTAAAATACTGTTTCTTTCATACCATGCCATAAAGAGTTACTTAAAGTTAGAAAAACTGAAACCATTGCTTTTACAGTTACAAGGAAGCTGTGATGGCTTATGAAAATGCAAAACAGTGGGACAGCGTAATCCGACTGTATTTGGATCACCTTAATAATCCTGAAAAGGCTGTTAATGTTGTGAGAGAAACACAGTCTCTTGATGGAGCAAAGATGGTGGCCAGGTAATAATACATGACATAGATTAAAAAATCAGTCCCCTTTGAGAGCTATTAACTATGTTTCTTTCTTCTATGTTGTTGTCTGAGACTAAAACTGTGCTCAGTATATACATTCCACCCATATACATTCCACAAAATACAGTATGTTTCTTAAAACATTTGGAGTATTATTCGTTATGTTACTTAACTGAAGTATTCGTTTGTTTGTTTTGACTAGATTCTTCCTGAAGCTCGGTGACTATGGCTCTGCCATCCAGTTCCTGGTCATGTCCAAGTGCAATAATGAGGCTTTCACATTAGCTCAACAACACAACAAGATGGAGATTTATGCTGATATCATCAGTAAGTATTCCAGTTCAGTTGTTTGCTTGCAGTGTACTGTGCTATTCTTTTCCTTGCTTTAGACCAATTTGAAATGATAAGACAAGGGCTATGAAATATGGTTTCCATTTCTGGTCTACCTTCAGTTACCATGGTCAGATTTGACACCCTGTGTCTAATCCAGACCTATAAGCTAGGGTTCACTTTCAGCTCGGGTGTCTCCCATGATCCTCAGCATAGGTTGCTTTTAAATTCTTGACTGTGTTAGAGCTTTTTCTATTTATCTATGGAAGTAACGCATTTGTCTAGACTGTTTTCCCGTGTCAGTCGTGGAATCGTTTTCTTTGACCTTGATATATTTAGTACTATTTTTCTGAAACTTAGATTTTTACTAGTAAAATTGATTTTTATCCCCTCTTTTCCTTTTGTCATGGTTCTTCTTTTTTTTTTAAACACGTTAATGTTACTTGTCCTTTTTTTGTTTCCCCTTAAGGCCCTTCTTGGCCTGCTGTTGTCTCAGTGGGACGTAAAAGGAGGACTTGCTGAGAAGCTCACTATTACCTCAGGTCATCAAGTGGCCAGCTTGTTGATTTGCAACACATTTTCTGTTTTTCTCCACTGTCAGGCAGGCTTCTTTGTGGACACAGTTTCACATAAATACTTAAGTTTCTATGAAATTATCTCATGTTATTGATTAATCTCTTCCTTTAAAAATCTATTCTTGCTATGGTAACTATAAAAGACTGACTACAGTGAGTTTGGCTTTCAAGGTAGACAGTATTGTCCTATTATTCCTTATGCTTTCTTCCTTCTCTCCTATCCAGAATAGGGTTTTCCAAATTGTAATTTAAGTTGGTGGAAAAACTCTTTAAAACTTACACTGAAGAAGTGCCTGTCTTTGTTTTAGATGTGTACAATAAAATGGAAATTTGGTTAGAGGACTTGGTAGTATTCCCTGGTACTGCATGGTTAGATTGCTCCTGATAGTCCTTTACTCTGCAATACAGATAAACCCTCATATTCTTAAACTGTGAAAATAATCCCAGTGATAATCTCATAATTACTTGTTCTGTTTTATTGTTGCCAAGACATGATGAAAAAAAAATAATAATTCCTGGGTCATAGTAATGCCATTTTATTATGTCCATTAAATAAAAAACAGAAATCCCATTACAGTGTAAAACCTATGGAAACAATTGTTACGCTGCGTTATTAGCTCCTGGTGTCTGATATTTAGTCTTTGATTAAGTAGAAAAACAAATGTGTAAGAATTTGAGTCTAGTTGGCATTGTTTTTCTTTGTAAAATAGGAATGTAATTCTTTGGTAGGCTTTTGTCTTACTTAATAAAAATGCTCTGCTATCCTTGCTTTCTTTGTGTTGCAGGTTCTGAGAATACTAGCAATGAAGATTATCAGAGCATTGCACTGTATTTTGAAGGAGAAAAGAAACATTTTCAAGCAGGAAAATTTTTCTTGCTTTGTGGCCAGTATGCACGGGTCAGTACTTAAAAGATAAGCCAATGAGAGTTAAATGGCCATAGAAACTGTCCAAAGTACAGGACTTCCAGATTAGAGAAGTTCATGGTAGACGTTTTATCTGCCTTAACTGATATATGTACTTAGATTTTTTTACACCTTTTTGTATCAGAGTAAGCTTGCTATATTTATTATTGGATTCTATGAATTATACAGTGTCATGCACGTACATTTTTCAAACAGTAGAGGCTCCAGGTGAATCAACAACACACTATTCTCTGTGAATCTCTAAATGGCATGAACGTATAAGTAGAATTTACTTAGTTTATTTGCTTAACCAGTGAAGATTTGGTCGCTGAAAAAATAAGTTATTAAAGAGCGTTGCATATCCAAACTTAAACCATTATTTTAAAAGAAGGAAGTATTTCAATTGACAGTCCTGACACACAGGTCTGTCAGATGCTGCTTACTAAGTGTAAGTACTGTTTTTTGCAGGAGTAAGAGCTGGTGCTACCTGTATAGCATATGTGGTTATCCTGATGGCTGTAAAATACAATCAAGATAAGCATCCAGTGTGCCACTTTTCTGTCAAAAGACAGAAAGAAGCAACTTAATAAAAGTGAGGAAAATGTTAACTTTGTGTATCTCAGTTTTAACTCTTTTTTTCTATTTCATTCTAGGCATTAAAGCACTTTATAAAAAGTCCAAATACAGAAGATAACTTGTCTATAGAAATGGCAATTGAAACAGTAAGCAACTTTGTTACAACAACAACAAAATCTTATATTTTCAAGAGGTTTACTTTCACTATTGTTGCATTTTCTTAGTGTCAATATATCTAGTTTCATTTTTTAATGAAAAGTCTCCTTGTGTATTTTTCCTTTCTCTTTCATGTCATGATAATGTCTTCTGTCTTTATTTAATAGGTGGGACAGGCAAAAGATGAAGCCCTAACAAATCAGCTGATAGATTATCTTATGGGAGAGAGTGATGGCATGCCTAAGGTACTTGGATTTCTATCACTGCTGTTGCATCCTGTTGCAAGGTCTTTTGAGTTTATTTTGTCCTAAATTTTTTGGTAGCTACAGATTGCTTTTCAGCTTACTCTTATTAAGGAGCAATACACATACCATCACTCTTTGAGCCATTTCACCCAGTAACTCCATCTTCAGAAAGATAAGAAAGCAAGTAACTCTCTTAGGTACAAGCATCTTTCTTTAAGCTTAGCAGAATAGGTCCAAATTAATGCTCACACTGAGGAAAAGAGACAAATTTAGCAGCTAGCCAACTGGCAGCTGCCTTTCCCAGATGGTCAGTCAGCATGTGTGTCTCAACAAGCTATGGCACTGTGACATCTAGCAGAATGGGGAACTGGTCTTACTCTTGTTGCAGTGGAAGCAAGTAAGGTAGTAGTTAATGAATGAAGGACAAAAACCATTTACACATCAACTTAAGACAAAAGTTGTGGATAGATTTTCAGAATTATTCAGCTCTCTGTTGTTTCTTAAGTCATCAGTGACTGTGTTCTCAAAAAGAGCTTAACCCAAAGCAGTTCAGTTTTAAAATGGGAATCGAAGGGAAGATGTGCCACTGAGATCACCTGAAAATGTGCCTGCTTTGTGTGAATGCCCATATGACAATGAAACCCTTTTTTGAAAAAAAATCTCATTGGATTTCTTATTATGTGCAGGTGTTTAGTTTAAAGTTCAGATTCATCAAGTTAGTTTTATCTGCAAATAGAGTCTGCAGTTCTGTGAACTAAAAAGGAGTTTCTGCTCTGTGTTGGGGAATACATATTTATGATAAAAAGGAAAATGAAATAACAGGAAGTACATTTGAAGGTTTTTGGTGTCAAACCTTACTAGTGTGGAAGTTTGATTAACAACAGGAAAATAAAATACTGTGGATGTTCATTTTTATGTTGTCATTCATAGGAAATCTTTCTTGGATCCTTAGAACCACTTTTTTTTTTTCTTGTATACAGTTTAGGAGGTGCTCTGTGTGCTAAGAGGCAGCTATGAGGCTTCTTTTAAAGTCACGCGATAAAATTTAGAAATGACCATTGCCCTTACTTCCAGTATTCCTGCTCCTTTGTTAATTGCAAAGCATTCACTGGGTGTAATAAAAGGCTTTTGGTAGACTATTTCATCTCTTCTGTATATAGATAGTCATGTGGGAGTTGAAAGATATTTGCTGGCAGATTTTTGTGTTTTAGTAGCCAATATCATTGGTTTGGTAATAATAGAAAAAGATAATTCACAGCGTAAGCAGAACGTATGTTAGATTTACGCTTGAAACGCAGGAAGTAAACTTTGACCATACTCAGTTTGTGATTTATTTTTTTCAAGGAAGATTAAAACATCCACTGTAAATACAGTGTTAGACATCAGAACATCAGCATTGAGGTTACGATGACAAACAGGTCTTTCACAGGGTGACTGCTGGTGTGTCATCAGTGAGCCAAATGGCACTGCACCCAAGGTTTTCTGCTGTGAAAGCCAGACCTCAGGTGCAGGTACTGCAGTCTGCAATTTATTCCTCTGTCAACGAACTTAAGCTCTCGAGCTCAAACTCACAGTAAATATAGTCAGATACAAAATTATATTTATAGAAGAAAGTGAATTCTGCCTTACTGAGGGGTAAGGTTTGGTAATGATGGAGATGATGTGGTCTTGGCAGTAAGTCTGTTTCACCCCTAATGTTACAGATGTGGTTTTTGATTCTTTAGTGAGATTAAAAATTCTGTCTCTCTGCTCTCCATGTAGTGTCAAGAGACTGGGGATTTGATATGTTAGATTTTTAGACACAACTAGATGGTTGATGGCTGAGTCAACCTGGCTTTGATAAAATTAAAATAAAGGAAAAAAATCCTCTGTGTCTATAGGATCTATTTTTATTTACCTTTTATTATTCATCTGTGGTTTGAAAGTTGAACAATAATATAGTTTTGAGAGAAGCAAAATGTAATGAAGCAAATGGAATCCAACTGCAAGAGACCAGAAGAGAATGAAGCCATTAGAAAAAAAGTGTGAAAAATCTGAGCAGCATCTGTGTAAGCAGAAGTAACTTCATATTTATGCTGAAAGTAGGGTGGATAGAAACTGTAGCGTCCTGTCTGTCTTCTGTGAGCAGCAGCCCAGCCATCTGGCTGAAACACGTAGTGCCTAGGATGGGGTAAGGGAAGTGAGCTACAGCATAATCTCCATAGTGAAGAGGTTTTTAAGATTTTACAAGACATCCAGCAGTCGTGTGAATGCCGTAATTGCCATATTTAACATTGTTTTAAAATTCAATGTGGAGCTTTCTTTTCTGTGTTTAAAAGCTCTTTCTTGTTCTTCTGAATGCTATAATCCAATCTGCCATAGTCTCTCTCAGTGAGTAACATAATTTTACTTTATTGACTCATACCTATTTGTTTAAAAAATCGACTTAGAAAGCAATTCACCCTTATCCTTATTATGCTACGGAGCCATACCAAGCACTTGGGGTTGGTTTTAGAGAATAGCAGCTTTTATGTGGTAGTATTTTTGTAAAGCTGAAAGTGAGAGTGAATTTAAAATAGCCATGCAGCAGAAACTTGCTAATCCTTTCGGCATTCATCTTCAAACCAGGTAATGGCTCAGAGCAGCCTGGTTGCTTTTCTCACCCAACAACCTTATGGGATTTTAATGAAGTACCGTATTAGCAAAATTGTTATAGCTAGCATAATTTTGCTACACTACTGTCTAATAATGAACTCTTTTTTTTAATGTGTTATTATGTTGACTATTGTATTTATTAACTTGCAGAAATTCTTAATTTTTCATGTGTCCCCTGTTGTCTTTTTCAGGAAACATTAACTAGCAAGCTTCTGCTGTTTTACGTGTGCATATTTTCTAAGTACAAGTGGTTTAAAAAGCAAAACAAAATTAAAATTTTACCTATCTGAAATGAAGATCAGTTAGATTGCAATAATTATTTTTTTCTGAAGATTTTAGGAAATGTGTTGACAAGTGATTATTTGTTCCTCTATTTATTGCTTTTAAAACAACTAAGGTTATGATATGAAAGTAGAACGTAAGACTCACTTCTTCTTAAACACTTTCTACTTTTATATTTTCTTCTACATACAGCTGCTGTGTGAGTTATTGAAATATTTTATTTAATGAAAAGACAAATAGGGGTATGGCAAATACCATTGGGTAGCTGGTCTTCCCTGGGACAGGATCCTTCTTCCTGGGCAGGAGAACAGGGAGAGATGCAGCCTGGACGGGGAAGTGCAGCCTTCTGCTACCCTTGGGGTAGCAGCTGTCTGCGTCAGCATTAGGAGGTGTCAGGAGCTGGGGAAAATTACATGCTGACCTACCACTCTTAATATTTTTCTTTTGGCTCAACTCAGGGAACTCAGGATAAATAATATTCACTGATAGACAGAGTTATGTTTACTTTATTGTCCAAATAACTGTTTCAAAATTGTTAAATTAAGGTACTTCTAATGTTCTAACTTTGGATTGAGTGTTACTTAAAATTCCATTCCATCATTAGTTTACTTTCAGTCACTTAACATTTTGCCTCATATGGAGAGTTAAAAAATTTTTTTGATTTGCCCTTTTTCTTCCTGTATACCAGTCTTTCTCTCTTGCTTTTATTTCAGTGATTTTTCTTCTGTTTTTTTTTTTTTTCTTTTTTCTTTTTTTCCCTGCCTCTCAAGTAAGAAGTTAACCTTTGCAGTTGTGTTCTTTATCAGGAAACCTTTCATATTTCTCTTCCTTTGAATTTATTTTTTTCATTGTTTGAGACTTGCATACAAAAGCTACACAGTATTCCAGAGAACAGCACAACGTTGATTAATCCAATTATTTCTAAAGATTTTTTTTGTATTATTTTAACATAAATATATACTTTGAAAGTGTTTGGTTTTTACTAATAATATCACAGAATTAGTTGTTTTTGGCTTTTTTTTTTGTTGTTGTTCCATTTTTGAAATCACTGATATAAAATAGTGGCCCTAGGCCAGGTTATTATTATTATTTTTAGTAATTTTTCCTTTTCATCATAAGCAAGGCCATGTTACCTTGCAGTTTGTATCTTGGCTGTATTTTTAGGAATAACAAAAGGGTTTTGAGGGTTTTCTCAAAGTACTCATGGAAGCGCAGTTCTCTTGATGAGTGTGCTAGAACTTTGGGTACCCATACTGCCATCTTGTTTTTTAAAGTTTTGGTTTGAAAAGATTTCACTACTTTTTTTTGATGTTGGGTAAAGCCTTTGCTGCATTTGCCATTCTTGAGTCCTGTTATATTAACAGTATGTAGTGTAGCAAATTAGAAAGTTTATGCACTTTGTTAGCTGATTGTCCCCGTAATTTTCAACTTTTTTATCTGTCTTGGGTGTCTGCCCTATTGTCCTGGTGCAATACACGCTTTAATGACCAGCTGTAGTCATCCTCATTCATGCTAAGCACTATCTGCATCTAGAGCCACAAGAGAACTTGAAGCATCTCTAGCAAGATTTTGGAGTCCTTTGGTTCTCTTCTATTGCCGTAGATGACTTTGGGTTGGAACTTTTTAGCTTTCCACCCACAGGGGGGGCAGCTACCCCCAGGGCCCTCAGAGGACGTTCATCTGGCCCTGGCCGAGCAGCCAGAGCTCCTGGGAGAAATAGTGTAGCGTGTCTAAAGCATGGTGGTGTGGACAGCACTTCACAAACAGAGCAGCTTGTCCACAGCCTTTGGAAAGCGTGGTGGTGGGATGGGCAGGTCGAGAAGGGCAACACCACGGTATGTGTTTAGTCAGTATTAATTGCTTTCGTATCGTTTACTTAAGGATGCCAAGTACCTATTCCGCCTGTACATGGCACTGAAGCAATACCGAGAAGCTGCCAGGACTGCTATCATAATTGCCAGGGAGGAGCAGTGCTCAGGTAAGCCTTTCTCTTCCTGATTTCACAATGTATCTGATGCTACAGCCTTGCAATACTGCAGGTACCATTATTCATACAGGATTACACTGTATAATATATCCTATATAGCCTTAGAACCAATCTGTTCCGTAATTACAAAGTTTTTAATTATATTCAAGTTTAGTTTTGAATTTGAAGTAGCCTTTGTGAAAAGACTGGGACTCGTAACTGCATATTACATGCTTGGAAAACAGAAAATTATGGAAGATAGCTGCATTCCTTATATTCAAGTAAATTTATTAATGGAGTCTAGCTGCAACTCTGCTTATCTGTATAGCACAGACGTTAGAACTGCAGTTAAACTACATGCAAGCAGTTTACTGATCCTTTAGTCTTTGCACATTTAAGTTCTTGATTTTTTTTCAGTAGGAGATGTGTACAGGAGATGCTTTCTGCTGAAGGATCAGATACCTGTTTACTTAAGCCATGTTTTCCCCTGAAGTTAGAAACAGAAAGAAATAAATTAGCTAATTTTGTTTCTAGCCTTTATTTCTGTCTCCTCCATTAGCTGTGTTTCTCTGTAACCATGGCGACAGCCCTACCGTAACACTGCTCACTTTTCATGTAAGTTAAGAAATAACTCTAAAGGAAAAGTAGCAGCCTCAGGGACAGGAGGACAGTTATGCCCATGTAAATTAACATTTATGGACTGCTCCTTAGCATGGGGGCTAAGCTGGGGGGGAAATCTCTTATGCCCTTGAAAAGCACGATTTTCCAATTCATCATAGCAGTAAATAATTCATTTGTGCTAATTATGTAAGCAAGAAATGTAAAGGCTCAGGGGATTAATTATTCAATTCACTAGCTGCTTTGAATCTGAAAATATATTCCTAAAATGCAGTACCCCGAGTTGTATGGCATATTCCCTGCCAGTATCGATGTGTTCTGCAGCAGTGTGTAAATAAGCAGTGCATTTTTCTCAGGAAAGACACCTGTCTTGCAGTAACCGTTTCCTCTGCAGAAGCACAGGTTTAGATTTTCCCCTCTTCCTTCAGGAGATTTCAGTGAGTTTGGTTTTGAAATTTTCACTAACGTCGTTTATTCTTTTCCTTAAAAATCCATTAAGACTTAAACATAAGCCTGTACTGTTGAGTGTTTCCCTTTGGGTGTGCCATTTTATGTTCACCTGGTTTTAAGACTGGCCATGCTATACTGAGAGTCAGTAACACAGCGTGACAAATTAATGCTGTTTTCCAGCAACCAATTCTGGAGTGATACTCAGCTGTCACACCAGTACAGCAGCTTGATTCAATGACAGTCTGTAACGAAACAAAACAAATTGCTTTGTAGAGATGTAGAGAAAAACCATTGCTGAAACAACTAATTCAGCTGTGTTGATAAGTCAATGGAATCCTGTGGTTTCTGGAAAATCTGGGGCAGTAACCTTGAAGCAGTGTAATCTAGTGAAGTAACACTCAATGTAAATCATTTCTGAAAGGTTTGGGGCTTGTTCGGTTGCAGAGGGAAGGAGATGTCAGAGGAAATGATAAAGTAGGAGTTCTTTACATTAAAATTTAAGCAATAACTTAAATACCTGACACTGAAAAACAGAAAAAGGTAACAGGTCTCAGTGCTCTGATACCCTCATAGAACCTTTTCTCTATTGTGGGAGCAATGTATGGGATACAGCATCTTCCATTTTTTAAGTTTTATTATGCAAAATTGTCATCCACACGTGTATTTTGCTGCTGTTAGACATCTTCTGCAAGAGTAATTTTTTTTTATTTAACTCCCTGGCTGATACCATTTAGGATACTGTGACCAGCAGCTGCTTCTGACTTTCCAAAGAAATTGTCATGCAAAGGTTTTGCTCTTAAGAGTCAATATAGCTTTCTGTCTAGCTTCTTTTTATGATATTAGTAAAGAAATTGTTATGAAAAGTTAAATTTACTGTTTGGTATTGTTTGTTTTTAAGGAAACTACCGAAATGCACATGATGTTCTTTTCAGTATGTATTCAGAATTAAAGACCCAGAAGATTAAAATTCCTTCTGAGATGGCTACAAACCTTATGATTCTACACAGCTATATTTTAGTAAAGGTACTGAACTTAAAAACTGAGTTTGCACATCTGTTGCACAGTGTCTGCTTTATTGAAGTGTACGTATGGATGCATACTCTCTAGAGGCTGCAGTTAATTTGCTGTTTGTTGTGTTCCAGGCTCATGTGAAACGTGGAGATCACATGAAGGGAGCGCGCATGCTCATACGTGTAGCCAACAACATCAGCAAGTTCCCATCACGTAAGTACTGGCAGCATAGTACTTTAGACAGCATAGACCCAGATTAGTGAGAAATTCTTGTAATCAAAGCAGTCCTGCTGCCAGGCTGCACTTCAGAAGTGCAAGGCAGTGAGAAGTGAAAACATAATTTTTTTGGTTATGGGAATTGCAGATTTGTGCAACTGCACTGTGAGGCGGGAGACAAACACTGTCATTTTTCATCAATACTTGTTAAGCCCTAGTAGCTCAAAGGCTTTCAACATTAATATTGGTAAATAAATACTTGGCATTATTTCATTCTGTTGCAGACATCGTACCGATTTTGACTTCAACAGTAATTGAGTGTCACAGAGCAGGACTGAAGAACTCAGCCTTCAATTTTGCCGCCATGTTGATGAGACCTGAGTATCGAAATAAAATAGATCCAAAATACAAAAAGAAAATTGAAGCAATGGTCAGGTGAGCTGTGTTAATGTGTGTTTTCAGGTGTACCCAGTATCAAGGTTTTATTTGCAATGTTATTTTTTTCCTAAAGCCTATGGTCTAAAGTCTTGCCCTGGCTCCCCCCACCCCTTATATTCTCTTGTCATTTAGTCCCAAAGTTCTTCTGGAATTCTTTGATGCTGGCTGATATTAAGTCTCAATATTATTTATGAGCTGGCATCAACATCATATTTTATGAGTGTGCTGAACAGAGCAGTGTCCTGTGAGAACCATTTATCCTATCCTGCTTAGTGTCTTTTAACCATTTTGTTTTAAATTCACGCAAGGTCCATCCCTACTGCTGGTTGATATTTCTAGAAAATTCCAGGAAGCTTTTAAAAATAGGACATCAGTTTTAAAAGTTGTGTTGACTTGTCCTTAGTCCATCATGCTTATCCATGCCTCAGGTTTCTTAAGTGGAGACAAAAGAATAAGCCACTGCAAGGCACAAACATGCTCAGGTTAAGTATATGTGAAATCAGTCTTCCTACAAACTGTCAGGATAGCACGGGAAGCCACCTCATTGTCTCAAAAATTGCTAGGCTAAGCATTAGAAAAATGTATCCCACTCATTGCTAAAATGAAAAAAATGCGGAAAGTAAATCTAAATTATTTATCTATAAATACACCCAAGAACATTAAACATTAATAGGCCATGTAAAAGCCCTGGGAAAAAAAAAAAAAAACTTCTCCTCCACCTCCCCTTAATGAGGTGCAGGATGTCTGGCCAAGCAGTTGATGAAAATAAACTTGTGATGCGGTATTCGCCCAGCAGGATGGCAGTTTTAATTCTTGTTACTTTGTGACAAGAAATTTTGAAAGAAAGCTATCAAAGTATCAAGATAGACTAGGGCTTTAAAAGGAAAAAAAAAAAAAGCTACCTTGTTTACAATTAGACAAAAAAAAAAAAAGACCCAATTCTCCAATTCTGACTTTATATAATGGTGATGAAGTTCAGGCGATAATTGCAGGAAATTATCTGGTAGAACACAAAATAGCAACTGGGAGCCATGCAGCTAGCTTAGAGGAAAAACACTTGCTAAGTATCAAAAGCATTGTAAAACATCTGTGTTCGAGTTCAGAGCTTGCATTTTTATTCACACTGGCACCTTACTTCTAGGCGTCCTGACACAACCGAGGCAGAAGAGCCAACGACAGCCTGTCCGCACTGCGCCTTCCAGCTCCCTGAGTGCGAACTCCTGTGTCCCGGGTGCAAGAACAGCCTGCCTTACTGCATTGCCACCGTGAGTGCTGGCTGTGATGCTGAACGCAAAGCTTTTTTAAATCCTTCTAGTACTTAAAAATAGAACCTTCACTGTGTTTGTAGTTTCAACATAAGGTTTGTTTGTTTTTTTCCAAACTGTTAACGAGTGAAACTCATGCTTGCCTTCAGCTGTCACTGAAGGAACACCTAGCAGCGGCCTTGGCTACCACCTACATGGTGTTGGCCCCTAGGGGCTGACAGTAAAAAATTAGAGAGGTTCTGAGAGGCTTCACCTCCCTGAGACAGCAGCTTGTGTGCCAGGACTGCCCTGAATGCCCCTCACCTGCAGAGCTGGGTGCAGTTCATGCGTGGCAGAGCATTACTGGTGGATGTAAAAGTGCCCCTTTGTTTTTTGGGCAGGTGCTTGTGAAGCTCTCCTCCCCTGAACTTCAAGCTGCTAGGACTGCTTTTATAAAAGGGAGAGGGACAGGCTCCTCAGAACTCTATTGTTAGGACCACCCAGAATTTAAACAAAACCCTGCAAGTGCCCCAAACTTAATTATTGGTTTGTTTTTTCAGTATTGCTGATTACAAGAACGAGAAGCCCTAATATTTTTGTTTCAGAATTCTTTACAGTACATTGAAGAGGTATGGAACGCATTTCCCAGTGGCAGCGCTATGCCTCTCACTGTTACCAATATCATTACAAACGCTGTTTTTACAAGGTTGAAGTGATTTGTCATACTAGAATTACAGAGTAATCACAGATTAACTCCAACATTCCATGCCTGCTTAAGTAAACATTCTTTATTAAAACTAAAGAATCAGTCTTACAAAAGATATTAATAATAGCTTTTTTTAAAACTATTGGATTAGCAGAATATTTCAGAAATACTATCTTAAGGGAAAAAAAAGTTTTTAAATACATCTTTGTAAGCCAAAAACCAAAGTACCCGTTCATGTACATTTCACGTAATTAGGCTGTCTCCTAGCTATAGCTCAATTACATCACAGCTACTTGTAGCATCATGATGACTGCAGAATTTTCTAGTATCTTTTGAAAGCATCAGAGTTTACTGTCACATATTGTATCAGAGCATAAATTGCTGAATACAGTTCAAGGCACTGTTGCATGTTATAATGTTGACCAACCTATATAAGAGTTCTCTGCATCAAGAGCAAATTGGAAACCATACCAAAAAAAGGAAATAATCCCTGCTTCAGGTCAAATGCACCCCTCAGGCTCAGGTGATGGGGCTTGGGGACATTTTTTGAATGTCATGTAACACCAAGAAAAAAAAAAACAACCCTCAGTAAATGTATAAACAGCCCTCTCCACACAGATTTGCAAATAGCATTACAAAATTGCCAAACTAAAATAATTTTAAAGTGGTAATTTAGTACTTTTTTTTGAAAAAAAAAAATTACAAATAGTAATGAAAAAGCTTTCTCCTTCAGAGCTCTTTTTCTAGTCACAGAATAACAGCATTATGGTGGTGGTGTTTTTAAATTGTTCAAGACCTTTAGGATGCTGTTGCTTTCTTGCAGTAATAGATCAACACCTCAGCCCCCAGCCTGCTAGGACAGTACACACCCTTTAATAACTTGTTGCCTTTGTGTGCAGGGCCGGCACATGGTACAAGATGACTGGACAGTCTGCCCCCACTGTGACTTCCCTGCCCTCTATTCAGAATTCAAGAAGTAAGTTGGGATTTCTTATTTCATTTTTTCTGTTGGTGGATTCCAAGCTTAGTTTGTTCATAGTTTAGCAGCAGAGTTTCCTTTGGTAATTAAAAACAAGTAAGCCTCTGAGGGTGGGAAAAAACCCTTACCTGAGCATTTCATCAAACATACTGCCAGAACATTACTTTCAAGTGAACCAGGCACAGCAGCAGCCACGAAAACAAGAATCTGCACATGCTAACACTGCTCCCACCACTGGTTCCTAACACCCACCTGTGTGGGAATGGGCTTGGGTAGCTTGTTCTGCAGTCAGTAGCTGCTTCTCCAGAAACTACGTTCTAGCCCCAATACTTTCTTTGTGCTCTTAATGGCCACATTTTCCTCATGCCCCTGTAAACAGCAACCTTCCTCAAATGTTCAAAAACAAAATACTTTTCTCCACCTAGACAAAAGCACGCATTGCTCTAGCCTTTATTTTTACATACTGAAGGTTACAGGTTCTCTAGTGTTAGACCTACCATTTGATCTGTCACCCTTCTTTTAAAACAGCATGTTACAGAGTGAAAATATATGTCCAATGTGTTCTGAAAGAATTAACATTGTTCATCTTAAGAAAATCAGTGACTGCACACAGTACCTCAAACAAGACACGGACCAGTAAGTTCAGGTATGTACAAGAGACTGTGTTCATGGTGTATTGTGTTTGGGTTCTTTTACTTGCTTGTTTTTGTTTAATGGGGCTTATTCTAGAAGATATTTGAAGTCTCTCCCAGCAAGGAAAGTTCGGGGTTCCAAGAATTTAACTTAAAGCCTATCTATCCCTCAGATCACTCAGGTACAGATTTATCACATATTTGCACTCAAGTGCACACAGCCTGGTAGTTTTTGGGACTGCAAGTAACCTAGCTGCTACATCATTCCCCCGTGAGGCTTTGGAACCAGTTTACCATCTGCAGCAGTCCGGTTTGATGTGTTCCTGGACCCCAGCTGTGTTTTAGTGGCACAGGGAGCAATTTGGAGATCTCAGCAAATCCTTCTACTGATCAGCCATCAGATTTTAGGAGGATGGGAGCAGGGAAGAGCTCCTAACTAGAAGGAACAGAACTGAAATGCAGGTTACGTGACCTTATGCTGTAGGTTTCCATAATAGAGAAACGAGCTGCACAGTAAGTTCCAAACATACTTAACACGGAAGCTATCACAGGATAACAGCAGTGTAGTATTGACTTGACATGCTTAATTCAAAGAATGAGACCAAGGCTTTGTCTGTACCTCACACCTGGATTGATCCAGCAGTTTGGTTTTGTTGAACTGGTAACTGAAGATGCATGAACAAAGTTCCTCATTTAACTTAACAGTTGAAGGCTGATGTATTAGTGCAGATACCATATATGCAAACTTTGTCTTTATAGCTAAGTAATGGGAAGTGCTATGGTGCATGTATATATATTTAAATTCACAATACTGACCTTATTTTTATATTATTTGTTCAAAGAAGACCACAGTGTGCTATCAGAGTCTTCACTGTGGGGTCTGACTAACTGTTCGTTTGTTTTCAGAACAGCCTGTCTTGCTCAGCAAGCTGCAAGGAACTCTATCACTGCATCACATGCTTTCTCCACTGGGATTTAACAACCATATCACTTCTATTTTGTGATAATCTGTAAATATTTAGCTTTTGATAAATTTTGTACTTTGATTTATTATAGTAATAAACACCATTGATTAAATTAAAATCTTACCAAGCAAAACTTAAATTTTGTCTGCACCAAAGGCAAGGGTGAGGGGGGGTGGCAGAAGACTTAAGTATTCTCTTATCCAACATCAAGTGAGTTTTTAATCACTAATTTCTATTTAACGGTGTCTATTAAACAGGTCTTAGTAGTTAGTTATTCTGTTCTAGCTTTGATTAAAGATACAACATTTAGTTCCAAACTTTGAAGAGGCAGTGCTTAAATCCCTCACTGCTTTTCTGCGTCTTTAAGTGAGCAAAAGTAAAGCTAAGGAAAAAAAAAACAACCACATCCTGACATATGTAGAGAAGCCAGAACCTCAAAAGGAAAGGAAAGAGACAAACATTCCAGGAACTTAAGCAAAATTTTAAAAAAACTTGCGTGAAACACCTTTTATTGTAATCTTATATACTGCTTAATTCCTATAATGTACAAATATGCAAATCAGATTTTTTGCATCATGTACTATTTACAAGATTTCACCACATAATAACAGGGGATTTATAAAAAAAAATGGAAGTCCTACGAAGACGTAGCAAAACCACCAGGTAACTAAGCATCACATTTGTATCACGTTCAGGCACCCTGGTGCTTCTTTTACAGGAATATTTATAGCTTGTAACGTAGCACGTTAAGAGTAAGTACAGCACTGCATAGTGTGAGAATAAGTAGCTACATCACCTCTATAAGAGGAGCATTTTCAACGCGCTGGTTCTACCTTCCCAGCTACATCAGTGGAGCATTCATGTTCCTGACAGAAGTTAAATAAGCAAAGCCACATCCAGAGCAAGACTGTGTTTAATGTCTTGTTTTCTCCTTCCTTTTCCCTTCTTTTTTTGTTGGTTCATCGTTTTTCTCTCTTTTTGGCAGCTTGGAAGACTTCGCCTTCTTTTGCTACAAACAGAATAAGCAGGCAGTTTAAAATTCAAGTGTAACCTGACAAAAAGCATGTGTCAAAAACGCAATCAATGGGAGAAAATAGGGGGGAGGTTTGTCCATCTCTCCCCTCCCCTTCCAGGAATCGCATTATAGACATTTTAGTTAACTAAGAAAAAGTTTAGCATGGTAGTTTAGCACTGAGGAAACTAAGTCACCTTAATCATTGCATCGCTTTCAACGCTGTCTTGCTCATCCTCATCAGACTGGGTCTCATCCACATTCAGGTCCTCACTCAGTTCAGAGGTTGCCATGGATGCTGACTGCCTTTTAGATGTCTTCACAGAATTCAGGGAATACGGAGTCAGATGTGCCTCTTTGTTGTAGGCACGCGTAAAAGCGGCTTTGACCTGTGAAAGGTGGGGGGAAGGAAACACTGAGCATCAGCTTAGCTAACCAACTCTAGCCAAGAGTCTACCTCGCCTTTCCTTTGGGGGTGATGTGACCAGAAGGTTGTGTTTTTGTTCATTTGTTGATTGTTTTTACAAAAGGATACAAACAAAAATTCTCAAAAGGAAACAGGAAAGCATTCAAGAGCAGTGCAAGAAGCTGATAGAGCTTGCAGTCCAGAGCCTGCATGTAGAAAGCTCCTGCTTTCCCTTTCCCTTCTCTGTTCCACTCCCCACTATGCCTCTGACACAGCAGACTCCCAGTGATCCTCTACCTCAGAGGCAACATGAAGGACTGCTGAATGAAGCACAGCCTTTATCTTTTAGGACATGTCCCCAAACCCTTACTAGCACAGTTGACAGCTGAGCTGCAAAGGGCTTCCATGGTCTCAAGTTATAGTTACTAAGATATATATATATATTTTTTTTTTTTTTTTTTTACATCTTCCCTAGCTTCAGCTTTTCAACAGCATATCCATACAATGACTATCATCATAAAGTTTCTTTTTAAAATACGTAAGATAAAGAAAACAATTTACTAGTATTTACTAATTTTTACCTTGGAATCTAGCTTTGAAAAAGGACTGGGTTTGCCTCCCCACATGCTTATTTCCATGATATTTTCAACATCTTCTTTCATCAGGCAGTAAGAGTCCATGAAGGTTATAGCTTGTTGTACACCATCTGCTCCAAAATCTTTCAAAGGTTGGACAAGTGCATCCCGCAGATAAGACAGGTACTCCATGTTTACTGTCCTCTTGCACATCTGGGTTCTTGGTCAAATTGAAAGAGAAGTCAATCTCTACAGCAGCTGACAGCTCGCTTCTAAACACAACTGACCTGTCGGTGGGCAGGTGGGCTCTCACCAAATGGTGAATCAGCTGCCTTAAGGGTTAACTGCAAGCTGAGTTGTATGTGTTTTTTTTTTTTTGTTTGTTTGTTTTTGGTTTTTTTTTTTTTCCTTTTGCCATACCTGGATTAGGAATAACCTGGTACAAGGAACTCAGCCTCCAAGAAAGTCTGGGGACTCGCAATCACAAAATGGCTCGGGTTGGGAAAGATCTTAAAGATCATCTATTTCTAACCCCCCCTGCCATGGGCAGGGATAACACAACCCAACTTAAAAGGAGAAAAAAAGCCTCTAAAGAAGTCAGTTAACTATATTAAAAGTGCCACCAGATATCCCTGCTGATTTAAACCAGAAGAGAAGAGTCAGTACTACCTGAGACTCATGTGCATTGCCAGTTCTTGGACGATACGTTCATGTTTGCCTGTTGATGAAAATTTCCCCAGCCAGCTGGGAAAGACAGGAAACTGGGACATGTAACCTCTCATCAGCTCCCCGGGGAGAACACTCGAATAAATAGCCTGGGAAAAAAAAAAAATGTAATATGTGCCAAACTTAAACCACAAGGAATTTAGTCTCGCTGACACCAAGACATACTACTCCACTTGTTCCATTGGAAGTAGGTAAGTGAACACAGAAAGCTCCTCACTCTAAACAGCGTGTTTTAAGAGAACTTTCCTTGTTTCTTCCATTGTTTTTTTCATTCTACCACTTTCAGGTTACAGCTTCATCTCTTGTACCACCCTATTTGTTATGTTCTAAAACAGCTGTGAAGTGGTCTGGGTTTTTAAAAGCCTTTACTTAAAATGGCTTGTTTCTCCTGTCCAGTTCTGAGTACAGGCATGCAGACAGCTGACCTCACACAAACAAGTGCTATCATCTCCAGCAGACGGACGTGGTGAGGGAGACATTTCAGAAGAGCACAACTACTTAGAGATCTCTAGTACAAGGCTACAGGAGCAACTTGTCTGCTTGGACCTGCACTAAGCAGGGTGGGCATGCACTCAGTGACCCCCCAAGGTCCCTGCCAGCTTTATCTATGGTACATTCTCTGGTGCCAGACATGATCCTTTAACACAAATCTTGTCAACGTTTCTGTGATCACTGAAAGAGGTACAGTGAAGAAACTTCAGTCCTCTGTGCTTTAGGAGAAATACTGGCCTGGTAAAAGGCTGGAATAGGAAACAAAGCCCAGTAGGCTTGTAACCGCATGTCAGAACTCATACATGCCACACATCCTCACACTTTATAAAGAAGGTTCAAGTTTTTCAATGTTTCAGAGACCTCATTTCATGAGACAGCATGGGTTCAACCTCGTACTTATGTGGAAGCTGCTCTACTCCCCAGCAGAGCAGAAGAATACTACATGAAGCATGAGCATAAGTCATAAAATTACACTGAAACCCTGGTTTTAGAGGATCAGCCTTCTATATTGCACACCCATGCCGTAAAGCACATAAAATGAGCGTTGAACACTCACCTGTGTTGGTAGAAGGTTCCAGTTTTGCTTGCTACGAATCTGTCTGTCCACTAGATCACCGTCACATATACTATCAGCTGCTCTACTCAAGAGCATCAAGTGCTTTTTCAGATCTCCCCTGAGGAGAAAAAATAGTTGGTGTTATTACATAGCAGAAACATCCATATAGGTTTTAGTTTAATTTCACACCCCAGCATGAAACTGTCAATTGAAGGTATAGAGTAACTCACCCAGCAGCTGCTGGTTTCACATGTACATAGTTCTCTTGGACAAAAAGAGGTGCTAGGGAATAGTCATGGAAGAAAAGGTCGGATTTGTCTATGAGAGACATACGGGAAGCCTCCTCTCCAGCAGCAAAAACCTTCCGGACAACGTCAAAAGGGCCCTAAGTAAATATTTCAAGAAGTCACTGGGTTGCAAGTCAAACACCAAGACACAGCACAGAATTACTACAGTGATTGCACCCAGCAATATCTGGACTCAGCAGCACAAGCTCAATATTCTTTATTCTACTTTTAAATGTACTTTATGAATAGCACTTTGCCAGTTTGGAGAAGTGAGTTTTACTTCTGACATTATGAGAATTTTCTCCTAAATAAAAGAATCAACGTGCAAAGTATGAGCTTTGTAACTGCATCTTTCTTAGAAGACCAGTATATCAAAAAACATGCTCCATCCTGGATTTACTGCTCGTCGACTATCTGTGGCAAGCTTGACATTTTCTCAAAAACATTAGTCAGCTCCTTGCATCTAGGCTATTAGTGCTTTATTTCAGAAGATGCTTATAAAGCCCAGTATTTGCATCAAAATGTCACAATAAAAGCCAGTCCAGTATTTTACACTCACCAGTTTGATATCCTTCTTAGCTCTGCTGGCATCTGTTTTGGCTTCATCATAAGTCAATGATTTATCTTTTGCACACCACATATTAAGATTATGTAAAACCTAGAGAACAAGAGTGACAATTTGGTAGCATAAAAGCACTTAAATGAAAGACTAAGACTTGAGCAGAAAAAAAAACAGGATCCCTATACCTGAAAATAATAGCACCATTCAAATACCACACTGAAGTCATGGACTTCATACTTTCTGAACTAATGCTAATGCTGAACTGGCACTGACCTGTCTGATGTCTTGATTTGCTGCCAGGATTATCTCATGCATAGCAGGTGGTGGAATTTTTAAGCCTTCTTTAAACGCAATAGACATCATGGCACCCTGTAACACATACAATTCTTTGAGAAGTTGTCACCAGAAAATTCCCATTAATTCCTTTCCTCTACAGAACACATTGACACATCAGAGAGTTGCATTTTTTTCCCTTTTTGAACCAAGTATAATTTAAATAATTTTCTTCTAAAACACAAGTCAACCCTTCTCATTGGTATAAAAACCATAAAATGTAAAAAAAACATAAATGATATCTAAAAAAAGTCTTTGGATATATTTAAGATAGGCTTCTAAATCTGAAAGGCTTTGGAATCCTTGAGTCTTTCTTCCCAAAGAACTAGACAACTCTGCTGGTAAAGCAGATACTCAGTGAGGTAATCCATTAAGTTTCAAGCAATGTTTTCAATTCTGTAAGACGTCTGCCACATGGAGACAGAAGTTGCGGATGGTAGTTCAGTGTAGCCCACAGAGCCATCCTTCTTACCTTAATCTGCTCTAGACGAGGTCTCTGAAAACGAAGATCAAAACAGTAGTGGACCAAGGAACGAATTTTAGGATGGTTTCGATCATTACACATACAGATGATGGGTATTTTTGTGTGTTTAATCAAACCGATCAACTCCTGCAATTTAAACACATTACAACAATCGCATCAGGTACCTCAGAAGAACGATTAAGATGTCATACCAAGCAGCATCAGTCCCTGCCTTAAATCAGATCCTTGTCATATTCAAGCCTATAAAATACTTGCTGCTGTGATTTCCACACTGAAAACTTCGCCCCCCTTTTCCTACTTTAGATGCACCAGTACTGCTGCAGCTGAATAGAATAACAAGCAGATATCTGCTTCCACTACCAGCGATCATGTTTTGACCATTTTTCAAGAAGCAAAAAAGATAAATAGTCCAGAGTACAGCCGTCCACCAGACGGACCAGATCAGTTCATCCAAAGATCAGTCTGACCCAGCCTGTGCATGCCCAGAGGGAGCACTCTGCTTTTCAAACACACCTTGCCACAAACAATAAGGAAGCCCAAAGAGCTCAGCCCTGAGGCTTCAGCATTAGTGGACTGACCAAAGCAAACTTTGTTTGCTCTAATGAAGGTGAAAATCAATTTCATGATTCTTGCAACATAAATACCTGTATTTGAGCTAAAGGTCTGTATGCCCTTTATTGTCAAAGTACTGCATGTGACCACAGGAAATCTTCAGAAGCTAAAACCTGAGTTGCTGAAGGGAACAAGTACCAGTTGCAGAGCCCATGGGACAAATTCACCTGTCCAGAAATAAACATCTGCAATGGAAACTCTTGAGTTTGTTACTAAAGGGTGTTTTTTTTTTCCCCCTTCTGTTTTTAAAAGCAAACAAAACAAAACAACGTCTTTTCTCCACCTCTACCACTCCATAGTTCTTTCAGACTTCTGAAGTCTGAAGAACAAACTTCTAAAATAGGTACTCTGGAGAATCTACAGACCACAGGCTAAGGACAGTAGATTGGCATGAAATATGGTGTGCACTCTCAGCAATGGCATAGCCAGTAACTGTAGCAGTTTTACCTGAATCCCTCCTCTGTCTTCATTGCCTGCCATACCATCCACTTCATCCATGATCAATACATGTTTCCCGCTAACTGATGAGGATGTGCCTGAAAATGAACGTGGACAAGAGAATGAGATTGCAATATTTTATTTCCACAGGAATAAAACAGGGGCTTGCTCAGAGTTTTACCCCACCCTTCATACTGATGTGAGCCCAACCCACACAACTGAAGCGTTGATGAACCTTTTGTTCTTGTTCTACCACTTGCTGATACAGAATTTGTGTTCACAGAACAGAGCTGGCATTGCATTTCTTCCAAGAGTTAAACCCCATGCATCACAAGAGCAACTGCAGAGCTCCTTAGTAGTTTGGGCTGATTAATAACTGATTCTCTGATGCTCTTCCTAACACTGCTGTGCAGGAAGGAAGCTCTGTCCCTCCCGTAACCACACCCTTAGTACAAGAATCCTCCTTCAAACAAACATACCAGAACAGAAGTCTTTGATGCTGGTGTTGTTAAGCGATTCAGCAACTACTTCCTTTAGACTGTTCTTACTCCGAGTGTCACTGGCATTCAGCTCCACGTAGCTATACCCCAGTTCCTAGTTCAGACACACAAAAATGAGAACAGATCAGTGAGAAGAGTGTAAGCATACTCAATTAGAAACAGCATTTTGAGAGTTGAAGAAAAGTTCTTCTAACAGCATTTCCAGATCTAATTTGCAGCTTTGATTTCTTTCTCCCTTTGTACTACTATTCTCTCATACTCCAAAAATACTTACAACAGGACAGGGAAGAGATGTGCCCAAAAGAACACAATTTTTTTTTTTTTTTTTGCATAAAGAAGTCAGAGGCACAGATTTAGCTGTGAAAGATTAACAGAACTATGAGCCGAGGCTGACTAAGTTCTGTACTATCTCCAGATACATACTGAAATCTTGTGTTCAGAGTCAGAAGAAGAAACATGCTGCATGCCTCAAAGCTGATGGAAATAAAAACTTAACTATTTAACAGCTAGAAAATACATGGCTCCCCCAGCAGCCCGACCACTGCACAGCAGGGCTGGGCTGGCTGTCACTCCCTTCAAGACCTCAACCCAGCTGCTCCTTTATCAGCAAACTCTCCTGCCAGGGGCACACCGTGCCGCAGCAGCGTGCTGCACACAGCTTTGTTCCTGGGGCCTGGATAACCCAGTTTTGTCAGTTGTGTATGGGGAGCACAGTGAAATGCTCTGCAGAGAGACCCAAGGCAGCTGTGAGCAAGCTAAGTTGCAAACTAAAGGCAAAAAAATACCACGATAGCATAGAAATGAGACCAAATCAGCACACCCAGCTCTAGGTGCGGTATTAGCCAGAGAAATTCTTAATTCCATATTTTAAGAGAGTTCTTGCAAGTCACTTAAGAACAAAATGATCTACAAAGTCAGTAGTAGTGCTTAACTTTAAGGGCATTTTTACAGTATGGAACCCCCAGCTGACTCTCATGAAACAGTTGAGCACAGTGTAACACTAAGTTCAAAATTCCTAAATTCAGATTTAGTAACAGACACCCAGCCCGGTCAACTTCTTTCATCCTAAAGAGACATTTGAATTTGAATCAGTCTGGGAAATCTTTGTTAGATGCATTAAAAAAATCACAATCAAGGAAACTCAAAGTAAAGAATGTCTTCCTTTTACCTACTCTAAGCCTACCCCTTTTTAGTTTAAGGCCATTACTCCGTATCCTATCCCTACACACACCCCCTCAGAGAAAGTCCTTCCAGAACTTTCCTTTAGGCGTGCTTTTGGTAGTGGAAGGCAGCCATAAGGTCTCCCTGGAGCCTTGTCTCCTCCAGGCTGAACAACCCCAACTCCCTCAGCCTGCCCTCAGAGGAGAGGTGCTCCAGCCCCCTGCTCACTCTTGCAGCCCTCATGACCAGGTGGAGCTAGGCTGGGAGCAGAACTCGGTAATTTAGGGGATAGCCACCTGTACACATCCAGCTACAGAATCAACACAAATCAGAATCAAAACAAATACTCTTGGGAACAACTCTGAATGTGAACTTACCTTACAAACTAAAGCAGCTGTAGTGGTTTTACCAACTCCAGGTGGACCAGAAAGTAATGCTGCTTTAGAGCTAATACCATCATCTTTGCCTCCAAGTTTGCTGGCCTTTGCTATAAAAGAAGATTCCAGATTTTATCTATATATATATTACCAAATAATCTGCACATGTCATGTAAATCTTTAGGGACATCAACTATTACTGGAGTTCTGCATTTAAGGATTGATATGAGTGTCAAAAAAATACATGCACATCTGCATCCTAAAAGCATATGGGGAAAAGCAGTTTAGGTCACATTAGGTAAAACTTGCAGAGATTCTAAATTGAAAAATATTACTGGAATACAACTATTCCAGCCATTTCCTCACACCCACATCATAACAAAGAACAAAAAAAAAATACACCACAAAAAAAAAACCACTACCTACTATGGTGGCAGTGACGCTTGTATGCTATTTTATCACAAAAAAACCTGTCTACAGGATTATGCACTACACATGACAGTGGCTACTTGACAAAGAACCAGGGCTTTAACAATTCATCTCTTCCCCCACATGTGAGGACAGCCCTCTAGAAGTACTGCTGTCCCACTTTTTCCCCATGTGTACACAGGTCAGCACTTCTCACAGTGAAAAATAATTCAGAGTGAGGGCATATTATGTGTATTTTATATTTATACATACACACATACATGCGTGTATGTGTATATATATGTACACACACTGCCAGCTTATTTTAGTCTATTTTGGAAATAGTCACATTTAAGAAAGTATCACCCAATTCTAAAAAACCTATCTTCAGATGGTTTGCTGTTCTGTTTTGGGGGGAAAATGGAGGGGATAAGTGAACAACTGCTTCAACAAAACCCTCAGGCTCAACTGCTGCTAAAAAATGCACTTGACTTTAGACTCATTCCTGATTTCTGGAGTTGCTCCCCTCTCTCAAAGGACCTGTGTCAGCACACGGAACCAAGCAACGTGACTGGCATGGAAGAGCAGAGAAGTTAACCGCGCTGGTCACCTTGTCCATCTTCTGAGGTATTCTTGTGCCAGTTTCGGAGCCATCGGAGAAGTTTGTTGGCACAGCTTTGCTCACCCTGCTGTCCAATGATTGCCTTGAGAGATGTGGGCTTGTATTTATCCACCCATAGCAATCTCTCTGTTCCATTTTCATTACTCTCAGAGACCAAGTTCCCCTTAGGTTCTGTGACTTCTTTCTTCTCCACTGCTTGCTGTTTAAAGTCTGTAAGCTTTCGAACGGCAGCAGTTTCTTTCTTAACAGATTTGAAGGTAACTCCCTTCTCAGGAGTAGAATTTCTTTTTTTAATATCAGCTTCCCTTTTGAGGGGGCTAAAACTCTTTCTGCTAGCTTCAGTTTTCTGTGGTGTCTTTTTATGTCTCGACTCTGTTTTCTTTGCCTTAGGAAAACAAAAGATAAGAAAATTAAAGAAAATTTCCAGAAAAAAAATACATTAAACAAACAAGCTATGTTTGCACATATGCACAAGAGTGCTTAAAAAAGTAACAAATCTTCTGTATTGATTTAAAAAAAAAAAAAACTTCCAAGAGGAGATCAAAGAGTGTTCTTTGAAAAATAAGCCACTGTTAAACATGACGTCACCTGGTTCTGTAGCACAGCCTACAGAAGAGGCAGGAAACATCCTGAGCACTCCAAGAAGAATAAAAGTTCCAGCCGTCTCCTTACTCACTGAGCCTGACATGTCATTAAACAAACTAATCCAAAACAGATGACTGACAAGGTGTAAAGAACAGGCCATCAGACACGCATTAAGCAGAAGTGCAGCTCTCAAAGCAACACTTCCAAGCTTGAGCACAAAAAAAAACACAACACAACTTAATGCCAGTGGCAGGATGAAGGGAGCAGGAACAGAACAACCCGTGTTCCAGAAATAAAGTGCTCTCCAAAGACACACTGGCTAAAGAGAATCACAGTTGTCATTTACAAATAAGCTGGAAGTATTCAACCCAAAGCGATTCAAAAGGGAATTAAAGTAATTGGCTAGTACAGGCTTAGAGTTGCTTTTCCTGAAGGTACCAATAGTATCTACACACAATCCACAGCCGCATCACAAACAACAAAGCAGTATCTATAGTGAACATCAAGCATGCTAGAGCTAACTGAATTTTTAATAACATTTTATCAGCCAATACAGGCTAGATTTAATTGTGCATAAAAACTTTATTACCGTTTTTTTACAGTAAGTACCACATAAAGATTAAATCCATTATCTATACACATGGTTTACAAGTAGCTGTCCCATATTTACAGTAGGAGTTTTTAATTGGCCTTTCCAGGTACCACGTATCAAAGAATAAACAAAGGCTCAGTGTTTAAAACTGAAGCCTAATCTAAGAAGATACGATTACCCCCTCGGTCAGATACCTAAAAATGCAAAAAGATTAGAATAAACCTTACCTCTCCAAAGCAGAACCCTTAAAGCCTGAGTAAATTTTTTCCAATACTTTTAACCTAGTAGGTCAAACTGACAATCATAGGATTGCTGTCCACGGAACAAGAGATCAAAGCTCCCTGCAATTTGGGGAACAACACGTGACACACAACTAAGTTTATAACAAACGCACAAACCTCTGATTCAGCTGCCAGCTCGTATTTGGACTTCTTGCCTGGCATAGTTCGAACAAGGTCAAATAGGCCATCTTCATCAATAATTTTTGTCCCTAAAGCAGATGCCTAGGGAAATAAGAATTAAGAGGTAAACGAGATCTACGTAATTCACTTCAAAGTCCTTTCCAGTAAAGGTTATGTTTAGGAACACAAAATAAGAGCAACAAAAAGCTGTTTTGGTTGTGTTGCTGTTGTTAAAGTGTGTATGTATTATATAGAATCATATAAAATCCTAACTTGGAAAGGACCCACAAGCATCATCAAGTCCAACTCCTGGATCCCCTCAGAACCACCCAAAAATCAGATCCCATGTCTGATAGCACTGCCCAAGCACTTCTTTAACTCCAACAGGCTCAGTACTGTGACCACTGCCCTGGGGAGCCTGTCCCAGGGCCCGACCACCCTCTCTATGAAGAACCTTTTTCTGATTCCCAGCCTGAACCTCCCCGTCACAGTTTCATTACTATATTTATGGCATAAATAACATAAAACAAAGGCCTAAACTGTACTAGCTAACTTTTCCTTTTTAACATAAAATTTATTTGTAGCACTCCCTTTAAGAGGAGAAACTGGAAATCAATACAGTAATATACAAAATTCACATTTTCACTTCTGCTTAGCTCAGGCACAACACTACTCACCTTTTCACATTTAGATTGGCCACAGTCTCGTCCCATAACCAGGTAGTTTGTCTTCTTGCTGACATTCCCAGTTACTTTTCCTCCATAACGTTCAATCAGAGATTTGGCCTCATCTCTTTCAATAGACTCCAGAACTCCTGTAATTACGAATGTCAGGCCTTCCAAGCAGTTTTCAGCTCCCTGAGAACCATAGCATGGTAGAAAATGCCATTAACTGATGCAATTCTACACCTACTCCTTTCACCACAAACCTTTTTAAACTTCTACCATGTCAAGTGCTCAATGCAACTTTAAAAATGAGCCTAACCTGCCTGAATATAGATAGTAGCAGTAGAAGTTCGAAAACTATTAAAAGGAGTAGCTGCCAATGAAACTTCACAGTTTACCTGTCCCTATCGTACCTATGACTAACATGCTGTGCTTAAAGCACAGTGTTAAAGGACTGACAAACTTACTGACTTCAAACTTCAAGACCAGTAACTATTTTCCATCATAATGGCTTTATAAACCAGGTACAGAGTTTCATTTATCAGTATATTTCCTTTCATATAGTCACTGTTTTGCACTCCAGTTTAGCTTTTTTCCCCAATATATACTTTCTATTTGGAAAAAAAAAAGAGATTATATATACGCCAGTTTTTAAATAGTTTAGTTAATACTTGCTAGATCACTTTTAAGGTCTACGATGTACACCACTGCTACACGCAGAAATTCTACTGTAGCCAAACTTACTTGAGGTATCTCTTTGGAACCCAGAGCTTTTGGACCCTCGCGATTAAGGAAGCTTCGGTAGGCTTGATAATTGTTTCGCTTCTTTTCAGAGTCCTCAGGACTTACAGACTTGGGCAAAAGAAAAAATAGATAAATACGTGGTATATATATTGTACATATACATATGTAGTGGTATATATGTACCAATGTACAATATATATATGGTACATATCCTCAGTACATTTATCTGCATTCTGCATATACACAGTCACTTTATTAATAAATTGTTGCTTTCAATTCACATCCTATTTGATTCCTGAATGATGATCAGGTATTGGTAAGATCTACATTTCTGTAAAATCTCCTTTTAGTATTTCTACTTAAGAAATCTAAGCTTTTTATTTGTAAAAATCTGTTTAAAGCTCATCAGGAACAGTTGCAGGCACTCCCTCCCAATTACAACTGTTATTTAAATGTCAAATAAATGTGCTATTTTGTATTTAAAATTTAAAAGTACATTTTTAAGTGGCCAGTAACAGCTAGAATATGTTCACTGATTTTAGTGACTGAGTCAGACAGTTAAGAGAACACTAAGTTATTGTTAACGTATTATGTAGAAATATAGAGAAATATACTTCAGAAACATGAAATTGGAAATGGGACAAGAAAAAAAGAATGATAGTGGTATTGATTTTTTTAACAGCAGTATGGCATTCACAAGGTCACCTAAGCTCACATAAGAAGTTTTACTCACTAGTCAAGTAGCAGAATTCCTGCATTCTACAAATTTTCAGAGAAGTTAAATGTGAAAGGGCAGTGAATTCATTTTTCAGTGTACATGCACACCTTAGTGACCATTAATGAACTCAGTTCCTTGATGCATTCAATTTATATTTTTCCAGATAATTTCTTTCCTACATTTCTACAATTGCTAGGAACTTGAATTCTGGTAAGATCTGAAAGTCACCTAGAAGATTCAAACAAAGTACTAGGTGACAACAGTGATATATAAACAATAACAACTGAAAACTGTTTTACTGCAAACTCTACCAAGCTAACTAAATACCAATGGATAGCTCCTACCTCAGCCTTCTTCGGAGAAATTTTCTCTTTCTTTGGTGTTTTCTTCTCTTCTTTTCCCTGAGGTTTTTCTTTTGATACTGAACTTTGAGTACCTCTTTCCTTTTCAGCAATCTCTTCTTTTCGTTTCAGAGCCACAAGCTTAGAGGTAGGCTTCAAAGGCAAGGTCTTATCAGTTGACTTTTCTGCTAGTTTACTATCAGTTGATTGTGGGGGTAAATGGGACCCTTTTGAGTTTTCAGATTTAGTTTGTTTTGCTTCACCTGCAGAGTTTGTTGCTTTCACTTTAAACAGTAGAGAAGAGCACATACATAAGAATGTATCTAATTGAAAATTGAGAACATTTCATCAGATCTGTAATATTAGCATCCTACCTCTCTGAGATTGCTTGTATCCCTCTGTCACGTTAGGACTGCTCTTGATGCTCAGTACTGTCTGCTCTTCTGAATCCCTCCGAGCCTAAGTGAACAAACAATGCCAAAGTCAGAGATGCCATGTCCCATGTTACCATAAAGTCCAGATCTGTTAGGTTTCCCTTCTGTTAAGTACTCCAGTCCATAAATAAGTACATCAGGCTCAATGACACACCTACAAAAAAGAGACACACACTGATCCCTACCACAAGTCAGAATACAAACTCTATCAAATGTGGGCAATAATTATGTGCATAATTATTCCCCATTTCAAACACCAGACAAACTTCCAGGTTACATTAAGGATCAATTCTAACCAGTTTACTGAATAATCTAGAAGTACTAATGTTCTACTAATGTGCTATATTCAAATTAGCAATCCTAAATTATAATAGCTTTGATGTACAACCTAACAAATATTTCACTGTGCCAGAAGTAGTCTTGTGCCTTACAGCACAAGCTATGGAAACTGGGGAAACTCACACCACTGAGTTTAGAGTTAAAAACCTAAAATCCCTGCTTGTTCTGACAAAGGGAAGTATTCTCCTCCTTCATTTTTCTCCCATTATTTTTCACCAACTCGTGCCTTTGGCTCACTTCACTTGATCTGGTCCTCCTGAAACAGTGGAGTCATAACTGATCTAAGGCATCAGTTTTCAGCACCTCACTTCACTTCAGGTATTAGAGACAGGCAGTCCACTCATTTGAGATGAGTCAAGATGAATGTGGAACTTCAAGCAAAAAGTAACCTACAGGATATGCTCCATTTTGCCACAGCCACACCATTCCAACTGCCAATTTCTCTGATGCTCTGTTGTACATACATTCCCTCAGATTTGCAATTGGTGCAACAGCAAACCTCAGTATGTTGTGGGTAACTGCCCACAGTAAAGAGAATCTTGTGAACTCCTAAATACATAAAAATCAAGCCTGGATCAAGTTAGTGAACTGGGAATGGCTGGAGAATGTGGAAGTTTAAAGGAGCAGCATTCTATTACTCAAACCATTCTCGTGTCTTTAGATATATGCTTTCATTCACTGCAACTAAATAATGGGTGACATTTGACTCAGTATAGTGGATTCTGATTATATAAATGCCATCATCACAAAAACTGCATTCTTAGAAACTATGATATTATGATCTAGAACCTTGTAAACTTTAAAAATCTTTTCATAACTGATTTACCTAAATATTTGTATTCAAGTACATATTTGATAAGATAATGAGCAATGGTGAAAACAAAGACAACAAAACAGCTTGGATATAACTTCAACATAATGTCAGTGGGCAATTAGAATTATAACTTATATTTACATTTCAAGATAAATTGCACAGAAATAAAGTAATGTCTGTAGTCTTATTAGAAATGAAACAATTTACTGTGTGGAGAAAATCCAAGAGAAAACTATATAAAATTGAGCATGTTCTTTTCATGAAAACACCTTCTTGCTGTTTTTAAGCCATCTGTGTGGAAGCCTCATGACTTTAGACACAGATCAGGTGTCTAAAGTCATGAGGTATCTACATAACACAATTACCAACGCAGTTTATAGAAAATAAAGAATTCAACCTTCTTCTTCTGTGGTGTTTCATCCAACATGGCCAAAGTCTTAGCAAATTCTTCATCTTCATGCAACTGTCTCTCCAGCTGTAATGAGGGAAAATAAAAAGTTTTAGATTCACGTCTGACAAGTTTTAATACTACTATATTTTAAAACTATTTGCTGTTCAAGACAAACCAGTTATCTAAGATAAGACACCACATAGCTGGAAAAAAAATTATCCTACCAGATGCAAATAAACTTCTGAAGGCAACACTGCAGAATGAGTTTTTCTCTCCAAAAATGACAGACAACTCTCATGCAAAGAGCAGAGTTTGGTTATGTTGCACTAGAAACATTAATAGGCCTAAACAATCTGTTTATAAAGACAATTTCTGTCCCTTCATAATTTTATTGCTGTACATCCTTTCCATTTTAAGGAGTGATCAAAACTTGAAGACAGCATCTCACAATCACCAGCTTGCATTGAGATGCAACCTGTTAGCTTCCAAATAACTTTTGACAACGGTCCCACTAGAAAAGTAGGAACAAAGGCTGTTAAGTATTATGATGTCTCAATAATGAGTTTTACTCTTTGTTTACTACTAAAATTATATAAAAAAATAATGCGGCAATTTTGGAGAAGTTAACTACTGTCCTTAGCTCTGTTCTTATTTTGCTCACTTCATGGAATTTAATTAAAATATATTGTAAGCTTTTAATATTGATATTTACTTAATTGATTTTCTTTGACAGAAAGAGCCATCAAGAACAAATACTCAAATACTGCACATAGAGTCTAAGAAAGCTACTTATTAAATTGTACAAAACAAAGTCCAGTTTATTTTCATTTCTGTTTCACCTAACATAATGCTGCAGCATATACAGTGACGACTGATGTTCAAGTAAACTCTTCTACCCAACACAGCCTTTTGGGGGAAAACATTTTCTCTTCCTTAATACAACATGCATTGTTGTCAATAAACATTGACCTCTGGGGAGGTCAAGGATAAAGACCATATTTTGCACCTGTGATGTTTATTTCAAAGGATGCTCAATATTACCAATTGGAAATGAGTCGATTTTCCCAGAGTGAAGGAAACATGTATGACAAGTATACCTGTCTCCCACATTAGCACCTATTCAAACAGGCATGTGAGGTACACATGTATCACAGAATCAGAGTGGCTCCAGTTGGAAGGGACCTTAAAGATCACCCAGTTTCAACCCCCCTGCCCTGGGCAGGAACACCTCCCACCAGATCAGGTTGCCCAGGGCCTCATCCAGCCTGGCCTCAAACACCCCCAGCGACGGATGAGGCATCCACAGATTCTCTGGGCAATCTGTGATAGCGCCTCACCACAAATGAGGTATGGGTCATTCACATTTTTCTCAACTACAAGAAAACTTAGATGACAACAGGTGACAGTAGTTTTTAGTTTTTCATCTGAGGGAATAGAAAAAAAAACATGAAGAAGCAAAAAGTGAAAAGCAAAACTATTCTCAACAACATCAACTGCATAGGTAGAGATAGTCTGCACAGACGGAAAATAAGTTAGGTGAGACATGGTTCTATTTACCTTGCTGAAATAACATCTGTAAAAATAACTGTGTGACTGTGTTTGCACACATGTGGAAGAGTTCAAGTATACAGATTACATGAACATATTTATTTTTATATATAGCATAAATGGAAAGTCCATCTTAATTTCTTAAAAACAATTTTAAGTTAAACAAATTGCTTCTGGAATGCAGCAACAAATGTATACAGCTGTTACCTCTGAATCTTCTTCAAGCTGCAGTTGCCTAGCAATGGCTTCATCGTCCACTGTGCTGTCCCTGCTTTGTGAGGGCTATATTTAAGAGGGGAAAGAAAAAGAGCGTAAACAGTTCAGTTTCTCCAATATTGTGTAAACTGTAATAATTTAACCTGTGCAACTCATTTTGTGTACTTCTAGAAAAGGACAGGTAATTAGACATGCAGCATTTTATTCCTAGCTCTTTAACCTATACACTATTAACCAGGGTTGCTTTCAAGAGATTTTACTATTCAAAACAAAGCCACATCACCTAGATGTTGTTTTTTCAAAGAATTCTGAACATCTCTGATGCTACCACAGCTAGCCAGCTTGACAGAGACAAAAGCTACATTGTGAATTTTGAACTTCCTCCATGCTTTATTTGGTGCTCTGTTATTCCATGAATATATATGCCATAAAGCTTTGGAAAACAACATGCTACCTCTACCCTCTGCACAACTCCTCCCCCCGAGCTATAAGCTACCCCATCCACTCACTCCTCCTAGAAGACTGTGTAAAAATTCTAAGGAAAATCATATGGGAAAAAGTAATAAAGAAAATACTACTTTTGATTTTGTACTTCCTTCTCAAACATGGAAGTTTTACTCTGCAATAGTCTTTGAGGATTTAATATGCTTGTTACATACCATCAAAACTGACCTCACACCTGAGTGGTTATGAAAGAGTAACATTCAATAGGACAAGCAGCTAAGAAGGTTCTTAAAGTTATTAAGTTGGCTATTTTGTTCTGCTATCAAACACACAAGTAACCTAAAGGAACCTCATCAGTACTCACTTCCTTCCTTTTACTTGCTACCAGTTTCTTTTCTGATCGCTGGACACTACTTGTCCCAAAGTAATCGAGAGCTGAGGTGGGCGTCAGCTTCACTGGAGATAATGGCTTGGGTTTAGCTCGTGGTTTTACATCTTCCTTTTTCACCGTTGTTGATCCTGGGCAACTGATGGCTGATGCCCCATTCTCCTTTGGTTTCAGGGAAATTCTCTTATTGACAAAGTCATCATCATCATCTAAACATGAATAATATTTTATTAATTCCGGTAGATGGTTCTTACAATTCTTAGTTCTTATGTCAAGAGAAATATTTTGGGCAGATTCCATTAACAAAGACCTTAATAAAACAGTACAGGTGTTTAGAAGTTGATTTGGAGAAAGAAAGAATAAGAAAAAAAAAAAAGTAAAGTTCCATAACATAATATTTAGCATCTAAATAGCACAGCTAGGTCTGAATAAATTGAGTGCTAAAATAGAGAGACAGAAGTCTGCTACTTGTATAAATGCACTACCTCTCATTTAGAAAGGTTTGCAAAGAATGCCTTCCCTTCTTATGTAAGAAAGGGCATCCTTACATAAGGATGTAACAGAAATCTACGTCACTGAAATTTGAACTCTTTCCTTTACCAACACAGCATCCAAATGCATAGCACAACCTTCAAATAAAAAGTATAGTTTTGCATTTCACATATATTTTATTACTTTGTAGTATTCACTAATAGAACAGATAATGCATGCTTTGTACACTTACATACTCTTAATCCCTCAACATTGTACTATCAAGCAGGGAAAAAAAATATTACAACATTGTATTTACAAAGAGCCCACATGGTAGCTTCTTGCATCCGTTTACAGGACAGCAGTTACTCAGTTATTCGTAAAGTACTGCTCATACCTTATGAATGTGTTAGTAAAATAACGGTGTCAAAATGTTTCTGCTTTGCCCCTTTTACAGAATCACAGAATTGTCTAGGTTGGAAGAGACCTCAAGATCATCGAGTCCAACCTCTGTCCTAACGCTAACAAGTCCTCCACTAAACCATATCACTAAGCTCTACATCTAAACGTCTTTTAAAGACCTCCAGGGATGGTGACTCCACCACTGCCCTGGGTAGCCTGTTCCAATGCCTCACAACCCTTTCAGTAAAGTTCTTCCTAATATCCAACCTAAAACACCCCTGGTGCAACTTTAGCTTGTTCCCCCTTGTCCTGCCACCAGGCACGCGGGAGAATAGACCAACTCCCACCTCGCTACAGCCTCCTTTAATGTAATTATAAAGAACAATAAGGTTGCCCCCGAGCCTCCTTTTCTCCAGGCTGAACAAATCCAGCTCCTGCGAGCTATTTTCTATCCTCTACGCCTCTGTACTAAAACACACCCTCCTTCCAGCACAGTCAGAAGCATTTCAAAGAAATGCAGCCATTTCATAGGAAAGTAGAATCAGACAAGAGTTCAGCATACAGAACAGATTTTTCAATTAAGAAAAAAAAATTAAAAACACCAAATAACCACCATTAAACACACTAGATGGGGGAAATGGCTTACACAATGTTTAGTGCGAGCCCACAGATCACTGAACACACAAAAAAATGAAACATTGCTGGACAAACTTTATGATCAGTAATAAAAGCACTTTCTTTGTGAAATCTTCAGATTTCAAAAGTGTGAAAGGGCTAAGAAGCAAACTGCAAGAGCAGTCCTAAAATTAGCAGAAGATACAAAAAGAATAAAGCACAAAGACTTGGCAGGAACAGAAACAGAGACAGTCTTATTTGCATGCTTCTAACTGAAGTCTGGTTTTACATTTCTCAAAATGTGGATGTTTTGACCAACCCCCTCAACATATCAGAGGCAAGGAATGTTTTGAACGCATTTATAATTAAACTTAAATTCACATTACTATCGCAAACATACATTCATTTTCCAGTCACTACCTTAAGCCCCCCTATTTCCTTTTTCATACATACATTTTTCTTAATCACTTCCCTAAGTTTAGCTTATGTTGTATGTCTATTGGATCTATAATTTCTTAATATATTAGACAAGCAATAGAGGGAATTTTTTCTTGTGTGATCTTTTCTCAGTAGACAGCAGCAACAAGGGCATTTTAGGCATCAACTGGAACTGTCTGCTACTCATCACTTACTAAGCAGCAGCTAATATAAATGGGGATCCTGACAATTCCTGTGAGAGGAAGTTCAGACAAGGAAAAATAAAGCAGAGATATGACTGTAAGGGAAGAAATTCTCTCAGCATTTGAAATCAAGACACACACACGCTCCCCCCTCCCCCTACCCTCCCCCCCCCAAAAAAAAAAGTTATCTACCAGAAAAAGGCATTTTACCCAATTTGATTCACAAAGACATGTGAAAGATAAAAACTCAAGCCCAGGTCCCTCAAATGGCGGCAGCAGCAGCAAATTTTACCAAGAAGCTAAAAGCTTTACGATTCTTAGGCCAATTATGTACTTTCCTTAGGCAGAGGTAAATCTTTTACTGCCATTTAGCTTAATTTAACTGTTACATATCTGGGAGATTTAGACACTAGATGCTTTAGGCTCCTAATTTGTAATAGTTTGAGATCTGAATATAAGACTACTTATCTCAAACCTAATTTCAGAATATTCTGCTTCTTTTGCTTTTTCCCATTTAAATGAGAAAATACATTTGCAGGAGTAAAATGCACCTATTGCTAAAAATCAATAGTTAATGCAGAGATAATTATATTTGTCTGGGGAAAAAAGAGAGATTCTGTTCTGTTGACCACTCACGTACTTTTCTTAACCGAAGGACTGCTACGATGCTAGGAAAGAATCTCTATTTATCATTGTTATCACATGGTCTGCACGCAATATTGATTTTTTTTCCTTATTCACTTGTAACCATTTAAATAATAAAAAAACAGGATATTGCTTTCTTTCAAGTAGAGAGATGTAGAGTAAATATAATTAAGTTTTTAATTAAAAAGGATGTGGATTTGAGTCATTTATGATGCCAGTACTAAATATTATCAATGGTTAGAGATTTGCTTTAATTACGCCCTTCCTAGAAACGACAGAATTAGAAGCATTTATGGTCTGCAAGTAGTAGCTCAAGAAGAACAAGAGCACTTCGGGACAGTCATCTACAAATGTAAATAGTGAAAGACAGGATGAAAACGCAGAAGTGGTCATTAGGAAACAAAATTCATCCTGATTCTGTTAAGTGGGTTTCAACAGATGCTTTAGCAGACAGATGCTCAGGCTAGTTTCATCCCAGGTTCATGAAATCCACAAGGCACACCGTAAGTTTGCATGATCTCCAGGCATTCCCCCTTACTTCAAATACATATGAACTTCAACTTTTACAGTAACCCTTTACCTTAACACTTCTTCCTTGAAGCAAACTGCTCACACATGCCTACTGCCCCAGAAGCGAGTAGCACGCTTGATCAATCAGTTGTACACTCTTTGGTTCCACTACAAGGATGAAGATGACTTAATCTGCAGCTTTGAAAATAGCAGGGGAGTCCCAGCACTGCTACTGGTCTGTTCAGATTTATGTGTTGCAACACAGCACCTGTAAACCACTTGCGGCCTGCAAAAGGGGGAGAAAGACATTCCCCTCCTACACAATTTGTGGGAAAGCAAGGACAAAAATTTAGATTTTGGCTTATAAAAAAGTCAATTGTAGTTCAACTGCACTTTTATAGCCATGTTAAAGAGCAATTGCTAAGTGAACAGTTGAGATAGGGCGGTGGTGGGTTGTTGTTGTCAAGTCCCTGCCTCCATACAAGGCTAAGGAATGAGAATCAATTTTATCATCAACTAGACAGCTTTTACTTTACAAAATCTTTGTATAACAGAACACGACTATTCTCAGAATACTATTTGCTGTTTACATCCACATATTCTGTGTGTGCTATACAAAGAACAAGTACCCAGAAAATACACACCCGTGGTGTCATTCCCCCCACCCTCGCCCAACCAGCTCTGAAGACTTGCTAATGCAAGCCAACAGCACGTCTTCTAGTCAAGGTTTCTGGAAATTAAGTAGATGTGACAAAAGAGCACGATATTCCTGTGATTAATGGAACAGACAGGCGTGACAGCCAGGAGATTGCTTTCAATTACTTTGGATGCAAGCATTACACATGAAGCAGGGCCCCATTAAGCCAGGTAATTTCCAAGAACAAGCTTCCCTAGCAACATACAACTGTTAAATCCTGAGGGGTTTGGAAACTATTCTGTGACACTAGAGCACATCTGGCTCTGTTTTATAGGCTGCTCTAGTAGCAGCACAACTAGGTTAATAAACTAATGCCTGCAGCCCACCTGCAACTGTTTGTTATTGCTCTTCCTCTTTCCTTTCCTTGTACTTCCTCAACTGGCTCTCAGCTGTTGATTACAGAGCAACACATGCGGCTGATCCCTAACCCTACTCCAGCAAAAATTATCTAGGATGTTCTACACATTTCATTAAATTCAGCTCACTTAAGAAGACTCAGATGCAAGAATGGACTCAGCCAATCTGAAAAGATAGTGACAACGGAAACAAGCAGCATAGGATGGTACCCTATGGCCTTCTGAACTGTGTATTTATTCATCTCCATTTGATCCTGCTGTACTCTTGAGCTCTTCATCAAGATAGTGTATAATTCCCTGGTTCCTATCCTGTTTAGAATGCAAAATATTTCCAGGTAGAGACAACCTCTCACTAGGATGTTCTACAACCAACTCCAAATATAAGCAGTGCACCCAGATGTTAACAGTAACTAGTACTTATCAGGATAAATATATGCTAAACCAGTAAATATTTGCAGACTACCATATAAAGGACTTCTACATGGAGCTAGAGGACTGTATCCTATCCAAAAGTTATTAACCCTATACTACTTGCACAAGACATTCTGGACATTGATAATTTTTACTGTCATACACTTACATAAGTATTTCAGGCAGCTCCTGCCCTAATTTGTGGTAGGTACTGCCCAAACTGGAATTAAGGTGGAGGAAATAGTTTATACAAACAGAAGTCTTTGCATCAGGCTTTCATTATGTCAGTATGCATTTATCAGTACTTAACAGTCCCAATACATGTTCCCAGTTCTACATGTTTTGTATTCATCTTTTGGTTAAAGTCAGTCTTAAAGAACTGCAAGATAACCACCACCCCTCAAAAAGAGAAAAGCCAACAACTGTATTCAAGCTCATCAAGCATAACTCTTTCCAAAATGAATTAAACAGATGCTACATAC